TTGATGGTTCTATTTTTATTGTTTCAGTCACAGATTCTGACACGAAGTTCAAGAATACAGACGAAAACAGCTTGATGAAATTATTTGTTGTAAAGTGTTGTTGATTAAACCTCAAACAGAGTCATACCATTTCTTAGAATCTGTGTTTGTTTGTTGAAAAAGACACCGTTTCTCACGTATGTCACGAGCCAATTTGCAAATTGAAAGACTGTCAATTCACAACTATGAAGGTAAAAGAAACAAATACATAGACAAGAAATTTTAACAAATCAATAATTGAATGACAATAGTAACTAAGTTTAAATCCAGTACTGCAGACGAAATGAAATGGCAGCACAAACTAAAGTGTCAGTACAGTGACGGTACTCTTGCAATGGCGAGCAGTGGACAAGAAAGTCAGTGAGTGAGTGAGTTTAGCTTTACGCCGCACTCAGCAATATTCCAGCTATACGGCGGCGGTCTGTAAATAATCGAGTCTGGACAAGACAATCCAGTGATCATCAGCATGAGCTTCGATCTGCGCAATTGGGAACCGATGACATGTGTCGACCAAGTCAGCGAGCCTGACCACCCGATCATTCTAACCCGGACCTTCACGGGTCTGATATTCACCAAGCAAAAACTGTTGTCAAACCTTCAAAACAGGCACAAGCTGGATGTCCATGGTGAAAGTCTTCACAGACTTATTGTCTTGGCGTGATGTGTGATGAGCGAGGCACGCCCTCTTGATATGGTATTCATATCTCTTCCAGAAAATTCCGTAACATGCTGGATCAGACTGATGCTGATATGTATCCGCTGTTCCAGAAGCTTCCAGATTACAATTCTAAACACAGCAACCAGTACACAACTGCCCTGTACTGAATCTTAACAGAAACAATAAAATAACACCTTTTTACAATGAATATCAGCGCCACATCACACATAATCGGGGCGACAACAAACAGAAAGAGTATGAAAGTGAAAGAGTGAGAACATGAACAGATCCGAGTTGGAATGTGTCTTCAGTAACCCATGCTTGTCGTAAGAGGCGACTAACGGGATCGGGTGGTCAGGCTCGCTGACTTGGTTGACACATGTCATCGTATCCTAATTGCGTAGATCGATGCTCATGCTGTTGGTCATTGGATTGTCTGGTCCAGACTTGATTATTTACAGACCACCGCCATATAGCTGGAATATTGGTGAGTTAAACAACAAGAAAACACGTTCATTAAAAGAGAGGTTTCTTACATCCTGCCATTATTTACAAGCATTACGTCATCTATATTTCACGTGTTTGGAGAAAAATGTAATTAGTCTGTCAGCTTAATATGGGAGGAAAATCAAAACAAAGCCACCTGTTGGTCGTGTTAATGCATAGTACCTACAAGGCAAGACTGACTTACTGACTGAGTTTGGTTTTACGCTGCTTTTAGCAATATTCCAGCAACATCACGGCGGGGGACACCAGAAATGGGCTTCACACGTTGTACCCATGTGGGGATTCGAACCCGGGTCTTCGGCGTGACGAGCCAACGCTTTAACCATTAGGCTACCCCACCGAACAATGATCAGGTTGACTTGTGTATTGGAACACATAATTACAAATCTTGGCATCTGAATAACACACATCTGGACATCATTCGACTGTTTCCCTAACCCAAGGGAACACGCCGTCCCATTGATCAACGTCAGGTGCGTAAACACAATAAACCAATCAGCATGACAGTCCAAAGAATCTTTCCATCACACGTGGTGTTTATAGGTATAGTGTGTATATAAAATACACCCAAAATACACTGATGTAAACTGTAACTGATACAGAGAGCAAACATCAAAGTTAACTTAGAAAGCAAGTCGTACGAGGAGTGTTAATAGTTGTAACGCGATTCCTTCATTATGTCAATCCTTGAATCATCTTGACTTGACTCATTATTTAACGAACGCTGTCATGTCTGCAATATTGTTTCGTAATACAATCTTCAACTGCAAACCATGAAAAGTAGTGCTGACTGACCTGTTGCGCTGCAGGAGACTGTACAGGGCAAGTGACGCGAATCGTGAAGTCGGTTATCAAGGTTACGCTTGATTACAAGACGCAGAATAGAATGGCGTAGTAACGTCAATTCAGTGTGATGTAATGCACAATGTGTATTGTATCGCATGACAAAATACTGTCGTCGCTTTTGATTTTTAGCGAAGCAAGTTAGAAAATTATATAAATGCCATTAAAGCAGCTTAGTACCTTGGCGCCAGAGTGAGTGAGTGAGTGAGTTTAGTTTTACGCTGCACTCAGCAATATTGCTATATGGCGGCGATATGTAAATAGTCGAGCCTGGACCAGATAATCCAGCCAGTGATCAACAGCATAAGCATCGATCTGCGCAATTTGGGAAGCGATGACGTGTCAACCAAGCCAGCGAGCCTGACCACCCAATCCCGTTAGTCGCCTTTTACAACAAGCATGGGTTACTGAAGGCTCATTCTATCCCGGACCTTGACGGGTACCGTGGCGCCAGACTGTTTGGGTGACAGCTTATCCTGGTCCCATCATAACAACCTATCCGTTATGAGAAAACACCCATTCTAGTGACAGCAATGCTCTTTCATGAGTGAACATTGCACACAAATGCCAGATTCCATCAAGACATACCTGTTATAACAGCTGAACCACTTTTGATCTATCCTTGGGCAATATTACAGGCAGCAGTGCGATTTGACCTTAAAGTTGATAAATAACTGTACTGAATGCTTACCTGTAAAGGCAACTCTGTTTCCAATAGCAATACATATTCACGCGTGGGCTAATTACAGGTCGCTGTTTCTTAGGACGTTAGTTCTCGCCAAATTCTAGAAAGCGTATCAAACAATAAACATAGTATATCACAAAGACAAGAATCTTCCAGGAATCAGGGGAAATCGTTATTGGAGGAACATTAACAAAGTCAGTTCAACAGTGCACCCAATAAACAAATACAACTAATACCTGATGATATCATGACATTTATCAACATCAGTTCAAAGTCTAATGTTTATACTAAGAGACAAGATCGGGATACTTAGTTTTAGGTGAGCCAGAATGATGAAACAGAAAGATTTAGATGTGACTGACCAATGAAACACAGAGATTTAGATGAGAAAGACCGATGAAACACAGGGATTTAGATGAGAACAAACCGATGAAACACAGAGATTTAGATGAAACAGACCGATGAAACACAGAGATTTAGATGAGATCGATGAAACACAGAAACTTAGATGAGACAGACTGGTGAAACGCAGAGATTTAGATAAGACAGACCGATGAAACACAGACATTTAGATGAGACAGACCGATGAAACACAGAGATTCAGATGGGACAAACCGATGAAACAGAGATTAAGATGGGACAAACCGATAAAACACAGCGATTTAGATGAGACAAACTGATGAAACTGAGATTTAAATGAGACAGACTGACGAAACACAGAGATTTACATGGGACAGACTGACGAAACACAGAGATTTAGATGAGACAAACCGATGCAACACAGAGTTTTAGATGAGACAAACCGATGAAACACAGAGATTTAGATGAGACAGATCGATGAAACACAGAGATTTAGATGGGACAGACCGATGAAACACAGAAATTTAGATGAGACAAACCGATGAAACACAGAAATTTAGATGAGACAGATCGATGAAACACAGAGATTTAGATGGGACAGACTGATGAAACACAGCGATTTAGAGGAGACAGACCCATGAAACTGAGATTTACATGGGACAGACTGATGAAACACAGAGATTTAGATGGGACAGACAGATGACACGGAGAGATTTAGATGAGACAGACCGATGACAGGGAGAGATTTAGATGAAACAAACTGATGAAACATAATTTAAATGAGACAGACCGATGAAACAGAGGCATTTAAATGAGCTGGACCCTATGAAACGGAGTTTGGCATGAACCAGAGCGATGAGTGTTATAAATGACCCAGACTGACGTAACACAGTTTCATATGAGCCAGGCCAATGAAGCAGAGAGATTTAGATGAGCCAGACAGATGAAACGGAGAGTTTTACATGGGACAGATTTTGACAGATCGACTGGTGTCAAATTTTCAGAGATTCATTAAATATGATGACACGGCTAATAAAAAAACAACTAGTCTACTATTTTCTATTTTGTTGTTGAAAACTTAGTGGTATAGCCCGTTTTACGTTATACACTGATGGTGTAGCCTAGTGGTTAAGGCGTGTGCTCATCACACCAAAGACCAGGGTTCGAATACCTACATGAATACAATGTGTGAAGCCCATATCTCCTGACATCCGCAGTGATATTGCTGAAATATTGCTAATAGGGGCATAAAACTAAACTCAGTCACTTACTTTTATAAGGTATTGCAATTGTACAATATATCTTGTTCTGTAATGATAATAGTTCCTACAGGGATATGTCAAGATAGACCCTTGATCTTTTGTTTATGATAATCCCTGTGGCCAGAGTTAAGACGCCTTTATAGGTGCAATACCATGAAACAAGTCTCAGAAGAAAACTCATCAGACAAACTGCCCCGAATAAGCTGCACATTAGATCTTTATTGACCTTGTAGCTACATGTATATGATCCTGACACTTGTCTGGATCTAACTTATCAAATATGATGACATATTTAAACATCACACTTCAATTCATTTCAGAATAAACTCTAAAAACCTTGTTTCTACACTGTTTACTCCTATATGTTTTAAAAACTTACATATAGATGGAAAACCTCATTTATCGTGATATATCAAAATATGACAGTCAGGTGACATCTGTCATAATTATTAATGATAAACATAAATATAAATCAAGCTGAGTCAAAGGCACCCATTACTTGATTCTATACAAGAAGTATTTCTGGAATTTGTGACCTGCCTAAAGCAGTGTTGTTTTCTTTGTCAAACAGAGTGATTGTTTATGAATTCCTGAAGTTGGTCTATTGTCATATATTTGCACAAAGAAAAACATAGCTGAGATTACAAATAGATTTATCATTGTTTATTACAAGTAAACATTTCAAAATTTGATTTTCATATACAAAACATTAGAATTTCACAATGTTATCATTATACACTTAACATAACAGACATCACACAAAACATTTGTATTTACACATATTATTACAAATTTACATGTAACACTTTTCAGTTTGATGGAGAAAATTATTCTCCATTATGTACCAAACATTATCACAGACAATTTAGAAACAACGTCTTGGCCCCCACAATAACCTAGCACAGTTACACAACAGAATGCAGCGAGTGTTTCTTCATTTTAGAATTTTGACATGGGAATTGAAAAAATAATATTCCTGTCATATCTAAATTCTGGTCAAAACTGACTATGTATAAAATCAACAAGAATGATATGGCATTTCATGTTTGGGGACTTACATCAGCTTGTGAATGAACATCTAATAAAGCTAAAATAATGACCAAATATGTGCAATAATAATATAAAAATTAAAACATTAAACTTCTCTAAGAAATAAATGTATATTGATTTCTGTTGAGGTAACTGTGGAGTAAGTTGTGGGGCCATGCTGCTATCCAATGCCTGTGCGGACAATAACTGAAGGATATATTCGACCATATATTCATGAAGGAAGGATATGTTTGACAATGTGAGCGGCTTCCACAACAGTCTGGGGAGGAGGGCGTCGGACACGAGGATCCACAACTGGGACATTCAACCTGAAAACAAACAAACAAATTACTGATATGACTCTCTAATCCAGTTCTACATGGCATTTGGCACAGCCTCAGGCGTCTAACATGCTACGGTTTACTGTTCAGATTTGCAAGTTTCATGAAAAGTTGAGTGTGAAAAAAGTAAATATTTCCCCAAATTTCAAGATGCAAACTCACTTGACGTTTGTCTTGTTGTTGACAATGAACAGTGGGTTGACTTGAGACAGGATCTCATCGTTGACGGAGATTCCATCCAGGTACTGTTTGAGAAGTGTGCGGAGCTGTTGGTTCTCCTGGACAAGAGTCTGTTTCTCCTTATCGAGGGCAAGTTTATCCAGTAGCACCTTGTTGTGACGTTTCCAGAAGTTTTCCAGAGAAGAGTATTCATGGATCACCTTAATCATAAAAAAACCCAAATTAGTTACTGTACAGAACTTCTGCAAACTGTTGGTTGGACTGTCGGACTGTATTTAGTTTTACGCCGCTTTTAACAATATTCCGGCAATATCACGGCGGGGGACACCAGAAATAGGCTTCACACGTTGTACCCATGTGGGGAATCGAACCCAGATCTTCGGGGTGACAAACGAACGCTTTAACCACTAGGCTACCTCGCTACCCCACCGCCCCTGTCGGTTGGACCATAAGCTGGAACGACTGAACAAGAATCAGTTATCTGTAAAAAACCTTTTTCAGCATTCTATATGTGTTCCATAGAGATTACAGAAACATTAGCAGCACCTGGTCCTCAGTAATATCCTTCTCCTTTTGTGTATGTTACTGTAGCAGGGCATGGAGTCATCCCATAGATGACATCCTTACCATGTCAGCTTGCTCACTATGTTAACCTCTTTGGTCATATGAACAATGCATCCGAATTTGGATCAGAATGTCTGTGGTTCAAATCCCAGAACAGGACTACATTGGTGCCCAAAGTGATCGAGACTAGGTACATTCCCATTTCAGATGGAGTGATGAATGTACGAAATGCTTACCAGTGCAAGCGGCTCTGAAGGTGGCTCCAAGATAGCTGCATCAACATCCTCAACCTCTTCCGCTGTCAGAGAGGATGCATAGAATGGTAGAACCTTCTCTTCCTCAGTCTCCAGCTTCCGACACATCTCCGCCAGCCGCATTATCTGCTCTGCCTGAAACATCACACACAGGTCACACATGGGTTGTTGGATAGGTAGGGATCAGTGTATGACATCACACACAAGTCACACATGGGTTGTTGGGTAGGTAGGGATCAGTGTATGACATCACACACAAGTCACACATGGGTTGTTGGGTAGGTAGGGATCAGTGTATGACATCACACACAGGTCACACATGGGTTGTTGGATAGGTAGGGATCAGTGTATGACATCACACACAGGACATCACACACACATGGGTTGTTGGATAGGTAGGGATCAGTGTATGACATCACACACAGGTCACACATGGGTTGTTGGGTAGGTAGGGATCAGTGTATGACATCACACACAGGTCACACATGGGTTGTTGGATAGGTAGGGATCAGTGTATGACATCACACAGGTCACAAATGGGTTGTTGGATAGGTAGGGATCAGTGTATGACATCACACACAGGTCACACATGGGTTGTTGGATAGGTAGGGATCAGTATATGACATCACACACAGGTCACACATGGGTTGTTGGATAGGTAGGGATCAGTGTATGACATCACACACAGGTCACACATGGGTTGTTGGATAGGTAGGGATCAGTGTATGACATCACATACAGGTCAGACATGATATGACAGTCACATGATTGGTGTTGTGAGGACCGATCCACATAGTCACAGCACCTTACTAAACAATCCAGTTAGATACCTCTTACAACCAGCGTAGGTAGCTGGTAACATCTTCTAACCTAGAACCCCAACAGTGCTCAAGTAACATTTGTTGTGTAGTCACACAGAACTCCTGTTTGTTTCCTGGATTGTAGCTTTACCTTCTCCTTCTGTCTCTTGAGTTCCTTGATGGCTGCGTTACTCTCCAGGGTCAGTTTTGTCAGCTTGTCCCGCTCTGCATCCCTCAGCTTGTTCATCTGGGCCTTGAGGTCCTGGAAGTGGGCCAGCATCTCTCTCCCGCTCCTGCAAATCATGACAACACATGTGAGTGTGAGTGACACTTGATAACTGATGCTTCATCCATTCTGCTTGTTTTAGCATCACTCTTGCACTACCAGGAACCCCTGGCAGTTGTTTGGGGTAATAATAACTAGATGTTTCATTGACTGGAAGGTTTAGTGTTGGTATATATATCAATGCAAAAGTATCAGAATATAGCAACGATTATTAGTTATTCAGGTAAATTAAACAATAGTTGATTACTTTTATGCACATTATGAACTAAGTTCCTTCATTAAATGTCTAAAATTGCTTTCATAGACTTCCTAGAGACTGAGCTGTTCCTAGGAGTGAGTGAGTGAGTTAGTTAGTTTTACGCTGTATTCAGCTATATTTCAGCTATATGGTGGTAGTCTGTAAATAATCGAGTCTGGACCAGACAATCCAGTGATCAACAGCATGAGCATCGATCTATGCAATTGGGATACGATGACATGTGTCAACCCAGTCAGCGAGCCTGACCACCCAATCCCATTAGTCACCTCCTACGACAAGCCTGGGCTGCTGAAGATCAATTCTAACCTGGATCTTCACGGGTCTGTTCCTTGGAAGGTGAGAACAAGTTTGAAGATACAACTTTTGGGCCAATTGTCCAAATGGTGGTTTACCACACGTTGGAGACAGTTGACCAATCACAACAACATAAGGCTGCCAGCCATCCACATTCAGGAATAAAGTTTTGAACTATTTGGAACCTAAAGATGTGTATCCTATGATGCTAAATGGCACTGGAAAGAGAAGACCCACCAATTCTTTTTATCCAAATTTTGAGTACCCACCTCTTTCAGCGACCTGTTTCTCTCCTCACATTCTTTGGAATTGTTGGACATCTTGAGTTTCAAGCTGGATATCTGGTCCTGGAATACATGAGTATGACTGTTAGGCTGAGTCTGAAGGAACTTTAACAACAAGTCCATTACTCAAAGCATTTGTTACATGTCCACATTGTGAAGTACTGCAGATTAACACTGGCTATACCACTCACACACAGGGAACTGATTCAGAGCTGAACAGTCTCTATTTTATTCCCATCATGCCATGAAAAGGCAGGGCAACAAAAATGTAATTTTTAGAGTAAAATTGATATTTTATACTTATCCTGACTCATGCTCTTTTTGCTTGTCTTCTTCTTCTTGCGAACATAGTGGAACACTTGTATCTCCCTAATTGAAGCTCCCTTCAATGTAAAATCACTAATTAGTACTCACCACGAGTTACCTCCCTTCCACAAGGGAACGAGGGCGCCACCTCCACCCATGTGCCTCACTCTCTCCTCATATACTGAGCCCAACATTTGAATTTACAGGGAAATCCAAAGTGTTATGTGGGGAGGATGGGAGGGCTTACCTCATGAGTCAGGATAAGTATAAAATATCAATTTTACTCTAAAAATTACATATTTTTCCTTATCCTGACTCATGCTCTTTTTGCTTGTAGAATCCTACGGAAAGGAGGTGGGAATATATAATACTTTGGATTTTAATAATTAGTGATTTGAACTGTGATGATTGTAATAACCCTATGGGAACTTCATAAAGGCACTGAACTGATGAATTCCTGCTGCTAACTTATCAGCTGCCATATAAAGGTTATTACAATGTACTTATTACAATGTACTTATTATGATAAAGTATATATAACATTAATACAATGCTTAAGACTAATAGACTTAAGCTTGTTAATATGCTAGTATAAACTCCTTAGAGTTTGTTAGCTAAATTACTTTAAGATATAAACATAGTACTAAGCTTAAGATATGATTAAACTTAAGCTAAATTATATAATAGCAAAACTCTTTAGAGTTTGTTAGCTAATATACTTATATGATATAGACATAGTGCTGAGCTTAAGATATGAATAAGCTTTAGCTACATATATAATAGCAAAACTCTGTAGAGTTTGTTAGCTAATATATTTTTTACAATATGAGTATAGTACTGTGCTTAAGATATAATTAACTTAAGCTACATATATACAATAGCCAAAAACTCTGTAGAGTTTATTAGCTAATAGATTTATAATGTAACCATAGTACTACGCTTAAGATATGATTAACTTAAGGTAAATATATAATAACAAACTCTGTAGAGTTGTTAACTTATATATTGTATGATGTAATAATCATAGTACTGTGATGATAAAAAAGAACTTAAGCAAATTATATATAGCATGTAGCTATTTAGTACTGTTATAAGATAAGTAGAAATCTGTAAGATTGACTTATCTTCTCCGATGAACTGTCAACTGTTGTGCGAGGACCATGGGACCGAATTGGTGGATACCTGAGACGTCCTCGGTGGTGATATCTCTCAGATAATGGTTGGCAACCACCATATCGGATCTCCAGAAATAAACCCTCCATTATTACAAATAACATTTGTGTAGATCAACTGTAGAAGTTAGCGCTCTAATATCAAGAGTATTAGAAGCTCATGGAGGGTCGGATCGGGTCCAGCAGTCTTCTAGGCACGTAGTATGACAGTTCTGATCCAAAGGAGATGGTAGTACGTGAGACTGCAGTCTGCGTAACTTGATGATAGAGGAAATAATCTGTTGCATTTTTCCCTCCTGTTTGGTTTGGTGGAGATAAATTTACAGTGCTCTTGCTGGCCATCGTGATAGAATCATCATTATCATGAAGTCCAAGTATGTCATCCAGGCGTGTTCATAAACCTCACTTGTGAGGTGTTGGAGCACTATATTCAGATCCCCAAGTTGGGCGTGAAACTTCCGTTTAATCCTCCAATCCGAGAAAGCTTAAGTAGGTTTACTAACCATCTAGTTGTGTTAGTAGCTTGATGATGAAATTCAGCTGTAGTCTGAGGCGCTGTGGATTTAGATCCACTTGTATCCCGTCGTCTAGGTAAATTAAGCTCTTGAGAAGTCCTTGGCGATGTAGGTGCATAACCAGGTGTGTCTGTCCTCGTTGAACTTTATGTAAAATCGCCTGACTGCCGTGCCTCGTCCTAACTTGACAGGGGAGGTCTCTAACCTGAAGAAAGCAGCCCAATCATGAAGGTTCAGATTAACTGGACTGTAAGGAGGCTTGCTCGTTCACTGATATATAGTTGTCACTTGTAGCGTAAGTCTTGAACTGTGAACTAAGATCGACCTCTCGTGAGAGTCGTTGTCCATCGCGGTCCAATCAGAACAAGGCATTTTGATTCTGTAGAATACCCGGCTGTGATGTCACGGTGTAGCAGGAAAAACCTTGTATAAAATCTTGCCGTCGTTGATATTAGCATAATCATTCGGTCTTCACCGTAGCTTCGAAGTTACCCAGTGACCACGGTTTTGAGGGTTAATGGTAAAGCGGCGAAGCCTCGGTATGCCAAATACCTCGCTCTGTAATATTAATGCTTGGTAGGTTATTTTCCTGGCTGTCGTGAAAGTAACTTCAGTTTTGAATATAATTCCGACTTCCTTATATAAAGGTACAATAAACTTGCAAGTTGTCAGCATGTAGACTGTATACATGAATGTATCGTCATAATTGTAGAATTAAAGCTGAACTTGTTGTACATATTTCTTTCTCAGAAACGTTGACGATTATGAGTTATACTGCAGCTGTAACAAGGCTGCTGTTCAATTTTGATATTGAATTGTCTGCAGATCTGCGTAATGGTCACGCATGTAGATAATCGTATCGTAGTCCGGGATTTCATATTCTAGCAATCTATACGGAAAAGTTGATTCCTGTGGAGATCTATGAAACGTCATTGACTAATTAATATAGCGACGTTCTGTGTTGTAAATAGCCTGTGCAATTGTCTTCGCGTAGGCTTATAGACGGCATATGGCATACAGTTGATAGACAACTTATGCGATGTCTTGAACGGACTGACGAGTAGCTATATATGACGAGTGGCTAGTATATGGAGACCTTGGAGGATACTTCCTCAGTGAACGCCTGAGACTTCACGAAGCTCTCGAAGTATCCCTTCTAGATCTTCTGGGTGAAGTAGACTTGGAGCCACTTAGCCTTAGCGACCGAGCGACCAGCGAAGGTATCGAAGTCAGAGCCCGATCAGTATATATATATATGGCTTGCCATGAGCGACCTCTGTGTTCAACAGGATGTGGGGTCGGCGAAGCGCTACTCCTCCGCGACGTCCCTTGTAACTGGTGAGGCTCTAGCTCCTTCGTGGAGGCGGCCTGCTTGAGCGTTAGCTTCATACAGGGTGTGGTTCTTGCTGGTTCTGCATAAGTAGAGCCGAGTAGATCATCCTATCATCTTCAGAAGTTGTGTCACGAAATCTGGTGATAAGAATCTCATTGATCGTTCTAGATCTATTAAGGCCAAAGAACATACGCCTCTGGCGTTTGAACTTTCATGGCTTTATGGTAGGCTGTGTCCACATTCTTTGGTACGGCAGCAATCGGGTCGATCGGAGGTAAGGTGATGGGGTCTGCATCGTCTTCCTTCATCAGGTATGTCTGCGCCGAGTTGCCACTCTTGGAAGGTGACGAGAGATCTAGGTTTGATGTACGTCGTCTTGGTGATCTGCGTCTATGGGTTGACCTTCTCGGAGACCTGTGAGGAGAATGTTGATAGCTTCGTGAAGCTCTTGTGTAGCCCCTCGAAGTCCTTCTGGACGATGACGATCTGTGGTCTGAGTCCGCATCTAAGGATGAAGCCGAGGAAGGTGATGATCTATCCCGCCTTGTACATCTGGGTCCTTCGTCGAGGTGGTCTGCGACTTCCTTCGCGAAGGTGGCTTCGTCGTGGCTGCTACGCTGACTGGGGGTGCCTCTGGGGTGTCGTCTGCGTTGGAACCTTCGCGAAGGCTCAGGCCCTGGGCTGGCTGCTTCTCCAGTCTGTAGTGGCCCTCCATCATGATCATGATTTACCGCAACAGTTCATCTGGGATGGTCTGCGACGAAGTAGTCGGTGCCCTCTCTGCGATGTTAGCGGCGGGGCCCTCAGGGAAGTCGTCTGACATCAGTGTAGAGACATCAGGCTGCATGGCGATCTCTGCTGATGTCACTGTAGCTGTCACCGGTCGCTTCTTGTGGCGTACGTCGGGGATGATAATCGGCTGATCATCGTAGAGGCCCAGTTCAGCGGCTGGAACAATCTCGGTTGAGAAAGTCCTAGTAGACTTCGTTGATTTCCCCTCAGAGGTCGACGCTGCCCTGGGGGTGCGAAGTCAGCGTTGAGTGTTGGTAGCGGCGGGACCCTCAGGAAGATCATCAGCGAATATCAGCGTTGGTACAGCAGGCTGCATGTTGATCTGGCGCTGACATCACTGTTGCCGACATCGGTCATTCTTTTGATGTACATCAGGTATGATGATCGGCTGATCATCATACAGGCCCAAATCTGCGACGGGAACAATCTCGGCTGAGAAAGTTCTAGTAGACTTCGTTGATTTCCCCTCAGAGGTCGACGTTGCCCTGGGGGTGCGAAGTCTGCGTTGAGATGCAGTAGAAGCCCTCTAGTCTTTGGCTGCGACGATGGGATGTCTGGGGAAGCAGGACGCTTCTTGGAGGAGGCGGACTACGTCCCACGCCTCTCCACCACTCTAGCGGAACACCAGACGGGAGGGTGGTCGACCAACAGCAGTAGACTGCCGAGGGGTTCAGGTGTATCAGTCATGGCTAGACTCTGCATACGCGACCTATCTGCTGTGCGCGTCTCAAACACAAAGTAATTATTTATTAAAGGCAGAATTGGATAAATTAGTACCGCAACTGCAACGTGAATAAAATGAACATGGCGCAGTACAGCTAGGGCATATTAAATGCGGATCAGCAGCAGAATAAAAAACGTAATCTGCAACAGTACAGAATTTTCATCAACGTAATCCACTGAACAAACATGGCGTCCCGTGAATAAACAGTAGAAACACGACTAAATATCAATATATAATTGTTGAAGGATACTAGCTAAACCTCTATAGATGTCTATACGAGGTAACTAACTAAATATAATCAAAGGATATAGTGTGTCGGGAGACACAGGCGCTCTCACGTCCAGCTCACAGGGCGAAGAAGGAGAGAGTGAGGCACATGGGTGGAGGTGGCGCCCTCGTTCCCGAGCTTGTGGAAGGGAGGTAACTCGTGGTGAATACTAATTAGTGATTTTACATTGAAGGGAGCTTCAATTAGGGAGATACAAGTGTTCCACTATGTTCGCAAGAAGAAGAAGACAAGCAAAAAGAGCATGAGTCAGGATAAGGAAAAATAGTACCATCTTTTATTGTCTTTTGGTATGCAATGGCGGGGGACCAAACCACCAACTTGCTACTGTCCAGGCAGGACATTATCCACTAGACTATAGACATGGAGCCCTCCTCTGACAGTGAAGGTAGAACAATCAGTTTCAAGCTATTTACACCGGAATCTACAACTATCAGTGAATGACTACACTATCACTACTCCCCCATTTTCTATAATCTGCGAAAAGACTCTTTCCCTTATCAATCATTGTTATGTGCAAAAGCAAGCACAAGTACTTAAATCCACATATGTAAGACATCCAACAAACATAAAGGTATAGTTTGTAAGGTTAGCAAGGCCACAGTCACAACTGTTTCAGCACACTGAATAATAAGTAGGGCTGTGCAATATAACCGGTTTACCGGTATTTACCGGTTCAGACATGAAAACGATACGTATTGCGATACGCTGATTGAAAACCGGTATTTTGACATGCAATCGAAAAACTTCGTAACACTCGGAAATCTTCGGATATTTCCGTTTTTAAATTGTTCCTTTCCTAAAATGTTTCATTTGTGCCAAACATTATTTACATTTTCACTTTGTCATGATTAAAACTTTTTATTAAAGCCTAATCAAGCATTGTGATTTTGTTGTGTTTTTACTTTATAAACCATGCATTAACTCGACTATAAGTAGTTTTTTGTTAAAAAATCTTCTTGCAATATATTGCAATACATATCAATACATGCTTCCGTATCGCAGTATATCGCAATATGAAAATTCCCTGCAATACCCACCCCTAATAATAAGTGGTTGTAACTGCGACTGATTTCTACTTAGCAAATATCCATATTAACTCAACTAAAAAAGGGGAGACAGGAAATAACTATTGGCTATAAGATAAAACAGCAACCAGTTGCCTTTCTTCTTGTCCTGGAATGACACAAGTGGTTATTACTGTAATCAACCTATCAAAGTGTTCTGTGAGCTGAAGAACAATGTTGTACACTAAATATAGATAATATTATTCAACAACAATCCCACCTTCCTGCAGGATGTCTCTGAAAAACTCACCGAGATTCTCTGCAGCTTCCTCATCTGAAGCTCGATCTCCCTGGCACTCTTTTCATCCTTGGCTTTGAGTGTTTCAAATGCTGTCTTGCGTTCTTCTGTGGTCTCATTGTAGTTCTGTAACGCCTGTCTGAACTGCTGCCACAAGTCATCAACCTTCGACTCCAGCACAACACGCAGGGCATGCTTTTCTTCAAGATTCTGACACAGAATCAAAACAGCAACATAAAGGTCAGTGAGAATAATGCTGACATAAAGATTACACAATTTTGGAGGGAAACTTCTCTTTCATGGAGAGAAGAGGCTAAAGTGACGTGACGTGACGTGATGTGAGGTTAATTGGGTTGTTGTAGTTTAACGGCTCACTCAGCAATATTCCAGCTATATGGCGGTGGTCTGCAAACAATCGAGTCTGGACCTGACAATTCAGTGATCAACATCATGAGCATCAATGCATTTGGGACACAATGAGTCAACCAAGTCTGCGAGCCTCACACCACCAGATTCCCAACGCCTCTAGCAATGTGGCTCACATTCCCACCAACATCACAAGCACCAAAAATAGCAAACAAATTCAAGGGACTGATAAAAGCCTATTTCTTCAAATCCTCCTCCAAACTCACTGAACTCCACCATACACATGTAAAAGTGTCTTTAGGCAAATCCAATCTGAAAATTGGTCATATATATATATATATCCCTCAGACACATATTCCCAGGCGATGAGTCCTTGCTATTTTTTCTGTACAGAGCAGCAGCCAGGGTGATAACAGGTGCTATCATTTAACATTTGTTTGTATGACGGTGGAGATAATATCACATGCTCCTTCCACTAGACAATGCTGGTTCTTGTGTGATAAAATGACCATCAGGCATTACACAAACACAAAATAGAGATGAATCTACCATTATGTGTACCACTCAGCGATATGTCGCCTGCCTGTATGTCTGGACCAGACAAACCGGTGACTGATGTTATGAGCACCCATGAAGAGGATGAAACAGAACCAACCATGTCACCGAGTCCATCAACTGATAAGAGAGCTGCCTCAGACAACAATTGGAAGCTGCTGGAGGCCAATTCAAACTTGGAATTCCCCTTGGGTATGAAAGTTAGACAAGCTGTTCATTTCTCTCACCTTGTTTTTGATTTCATCCCTCATGCTCTGAAACTCAGACTTGGCCTCATTCTCACCCTCCTGGAAGTTCTGATCCATTGCAAAGAGAATGTCGTCGATATCTGTCATCTCCTGTGTGTGCTGCTCCACCAGCATCTCCCGCTCACTGTCAAACTCCTCCATGATGATGTTCAACTCATCCGTGTACTCATGCTTAGCTTTCCCCAGACGTTGTCGCTGGAGGCCTGCACATAGGAGGAGAGAGTGGAATGGAAAGAGGGCGAGAGACAAAAAAGAGAGACAAAAAGGAGAGGGAGAGACAGAGAGAGGGAACATTATGTCCAGGGGAAATACAATGGAACAGTGGGGATGAGGAGAGGTATGGGATGGAGAGATGGAATGTAATAGACATATAGACATACTGGTTACTACTGAGTGAGGAGAGGTATGGGATGGAGAGATGGAATGTAATAGACATATAGACATACTGGTTACTACTGAGTGAGGAGAGGTATGGGATGGAGAGGGAATGGAATGAGGGAATATGATCGAACGGTTAACAACATGGAGAGAAGCTCAGTGAGATGGAGAAATGGAATGTCATATACAGGTAGTGAGTAGAGAGGGAATGAAATATAGAGAGAACATGATGGACAGTGAATAAAATGGAGTGATGGAGCATGATGGAGAAAATGAGAGGCAAGGAGAGAGAGTGTGATGAAGGGAGGGAGAGCCACGGAGCGGGAAGGCGTTCATGTTTAAATGTCCAGGGGATGCTTGAAAAGAGAGGTAAACATAAAGAGAACAATTTGAGATTGCCTACCTATCAAGTTATCAACATTCTGCAGATGGCTGCGGAGCGCCATGGAGTACTGTTCCTCAGCCTCCATAATGTCCTTGGCCAAAGATTTTATAACAGCATCCTTCCGATCCACGACCCGCTCAAATGTTTGACTGAGAATCTCAATATCTTTCTTGAGTTCCCTAGACTTGGCCTCTCTCATGATGTTTCTCCATTGATGGTTCAGTTTGTTCAAGTTGAACTTGCTGGCCTTCTCCTCTTTCGTAAGTTTATCCTGGATAAAAGGAAGAACAGTGAGTTTACAGTTTTAACATTACAGGATAAACATTCCCCACAAAGTTAAGAAGCCCTGTTACCTCAAAGGTGTTAGTCAGAGAGGAAATTCTCCTTTTCTATTTCAATGTATGCAGTCCAGATGGGCCAATTTCATAGACTTTGTTTCACCATCAGATATAAATGGAAATGAGGCTGTCTAGTAGGAAATGTTTTTGGTAATACATGTACATGCTTGCAGTTATACGGAAAGATGAAAGACTAAAAACTGAAAGAAAATCATTGTTTGAGATATATTCTTAATAACTGAAGAAGCATCAACACAGGGCTATGGTGAACCTCCTCATCTATAGTGCCATTTAATTTGCAGTTAATCTTGTAACGAGAAACACACATTACGTGCTGTATTGATGTGTATTGCCCGTGAAAAGGCAACTGAATTCAGTAACATTTTGCATTATGCAGGTTATGATCCTACTATATTTTAGTGTACAGTGACAAATATATATGGCTTTTAGGGTGGGCTATAGATAAAGATCAAAGAGACCGATAATTGTTTACTAAATATCGATCGATTATCGATAAATATTGTGGGAGTAACATTTTACAAAAATGACAACAAAGTCTGACAAAAACACGTTCTAACCACTGGTGAGTGGTGATATGTTGCTTATCATGGATTAGTGACAATGTCCTGAACCTAATTTAGAAACAGTCTAAATAAAGATGTAGCTTGGTGTATTGTGTCAGTAAATTAGCACCATATTTCGTACAATAGTTTATGTACAATAATATTGTGACACAATTTTCATATCGATAATCATTGATAATTCTACCATCAACAATATTTCTGATTATCAATATTTTTAGCCAGTCCTAATGGGTTTTCATATCTACTTGGTCTTAAATAACATATTTCCCTTATCAAGACCAACAAAATATAACATTTTCACTTGAAATTTAATTCTGTGAGGTTACATGACAATCCAATCTATAAATCTTAAATAGTTTTTAATAAGGCACACTCACAGTATTGCCAGCAAAATGTGTTATTTCATTCATATGCAATGATTCTATGTTTTCATGTAAAAATTAGACCACATGACTTAATATTTACGTTTAGTTATAACAATTCTGAGTACTCAATCTGCAGAGGTAAATAAGTGCCGACAATGTTTACTTGATCAACACACTGTGGTGTGACATAGTGCAGCAGATTAAAGAAACAATTTCATATTTTTACATTTCCCTTTGTTGCATATGACACAATACATACTTTCATAAACTGAGCCAACATATCCTCCTTCTTTTTCCTCATTTCTTCCTCAGCCAGGCGCTTCTGATCCTCATAAGCAATCCGTTCCTCCTCTGTCATTTTGGCAAGTTTGCCTGACTTCTTCTTCTTCTTAGCAGGCATCCTCGTGTGTTGTTAAATCCTGTATATAATCAGCAGCCCTTTTTCTTACATGCACGAAAAGACATAATGACCCATCTCACTCATGCAGCGGTATAGTCAGACTATTGTGTAAGGCTACATTTTCAACTTCTATTGCCATCATTAAAGAACAAATCATTAACCATTGGAAAAATTCAGTTAATCAGAAAAACACCGAATATACATTTTTATGGCTAAATCAATATTGCAAAAAACCATGTGAAATTTCCAACAACGACATATTATCAACAAAAATATCTGGGTTAGGGCGGAATTCACAATAAATACTCATTTACAAATAAACAATCACTGAAATTCACACAAGAAACTAGCTCAGCGTGCATCAGAGTAGGCATTGTTTATTAATATCACTACAGAAAAGGTAATAATGTTACATTTGAGACCAAAATTAAGGCAGACATATATGTTACCGGTACCTGTCTTTGCGTTTAATCAGTCAATAATGGCCAGCGATTCCCAACCCAAACTGTGTCCCTGTGTATGTAACCTTGGTTACAGACCGGAAGTAGGATATGACGTGAGTAGCATTTTCCAAAAGTATGCGTATATTTAAAATGGAAACGGGAAACTCGAATCTGTTATCAAATATGTTATATCAAATCAACATCGGTACAAATCCGTATAAAATCTAGACCGAATTAGGTCACGATGATGCACACAAACATATGTCGATTTCTCTGATTCTTCTTTTGTAATGTGCTAGTAATAGTAGTATTACACGCGAGGCCTACATTTCCGGCACGTTTTCAATCTTATCGTAGTCTTCGCTTAGCGACATGGTGAGGCGTGTGGGAATAATCGGATATGGTCACCTTGGTATGTATTGTAAACCTTAGATATTCGCTGAAGTCTGAACCAAACACAGGGTGCTGTCAGCAAAAACTTTGCAGTCAATTCAAACTGGATCAGCGTGTCGTCTCGAGACGAAACCAGTATCAGTAAATCATCGACTCTAGGGGTGGCCGTGCAGACCATGCTAAGGAAATGTTTTGTTTCAGAATGTTTTCCCCATTCCATCAGAGACATCCACGAGACTACATGACATGCTTTCATGCCATAATGTCACTTTCACCTTCATCAATTATTTACGTCGTGAAATTAAAGCAGTAACATGTGTCATTTTTGCAGGCGGTCAAAGGGAGGTAATAACGTAGTGACCAAAATATATTACCTCCCTTTGGTTGCTAACATACCTGAACAGTAGCAGTTTCTCACATAATTGTTGTATTTATCATTTATTTAGTGGCTAAAAATGGCACAGTTTGGAAATCTATCCAATTCTCAGCAAGATCAGTCAAAGTCTATGGCAGTAATGAAATTAAAAAGTTAATTGCAATGTATTCCATTGCTATAGATCTAACGCCAGTAACGGTACCTGTTAAAAGCTATAGCTAGATGGCTTCTCCATAGATCAAATGATAGATGATAATCCCTTAACTGTTTCCACAAAGCAGTGTAATTTTGACATGCGTTTTATGTTGTTACTATCTCTATGAAATCATTTAGAGATCATATCTGAAATAATCTATAACTATATTTTTAACTGAAGTATATGAATGAACTACGTTTGTCATCCAGATGAAGTTAGCAGCTGGGACATATTATCACATATTTGTCTTGAATGTGAACATAACTATAATATGGATGTTGAACATGATTTAAGTTTGCAGGTTGAACTCTTAACAATTTAGTATATGATAACTTTAATAATACTTTAATTAGAGGAGGTATTTAGCTGTAGCAATGATTTCAGTTATAATATTAGTAGGAAAATTTAAGATGTAAATGATATGAGAAGTAGATGTAGTTTTCACGACAATATCACCGGAAGTATATGTAATGTAAAAGTGATGTCATTACATGTATAATGTTGTTGTATTAATACAGGACAATATCTGGTGCAACAGATCAACTCCAGAAGTGATATGGAATTGGTCTTCGTATGGAACCGAACTGTCTCAGCACTGAAAGAGTCAGTGCAGATCAGACCAGACCAGATTCTGGAAGATTTGTCTGATTTTGAAAAATAGTGAGTACCTGTATAATGCAAAGATTGTAGATAAGGCCTTCAGTGTATATCTATTCAATGCAAGGAATAGTGATGATGTCCTCAATGTAACGAGATTAATCTAGGATCATAAACAAACTTCCATAGGCACATACATTGGGAAGAAACATTATTTTGTTCATAATGGCTTTGGCTCTTGAAGTTTCTATCTTCTTAATTGCAGAGATATATTATTATAACAATGTGTTCATATATTTACAAGAACTGTAAATGTTCTTTTCTGTTTTGTGAGTATTTGAGATACTGACATCAACTGCAGATAAAATATCAGGATCTGATCAGTCTGATCATACATTGTATTAGAGTTAATATTAGAGTAACATTCTGCATCTAAATATTTCATTACTAATATTAGTGTTATCATAATGACTTTTATTCTTCTCTTGATCAACGATGACAGCCAGGCAGACTTGATAGTAGAAGTGGCCCATCCCAACATCACACAAACGTATGGTCCTAGGATCCTGCAGAAGGCTGACTTCATGGTAAAGTATGGCTTGATATAGCTCCAAATGATAGCTACATACTGAACTTTAAATGTCTGACATTGCTTGTGGTAAAAATGAATCAGGCTTGAAAGATGAATACTTCTATTGATTGCTTTCATAGGTTGTTTAGTGAGTGGTCAAAGGTCCTTGAAAGATGAATATTTCTATTGATTGCTTTCATAGGTATGGATTGATAACATTCAGTGGTAAAAGATAAGACAGTATGCGAAAGTAAATGGTTTGATTGTATGCAGGGGTAAGTGGTTTGGAAAAAAAGGTTTGATTTTTTCCACTGTGTTTGATAGTTTCCACTCTCAGTCCAGTAGGAGGACATAGCATGCAGTGTGTATGTTGCTATATTTGATGTATTATCTGCCAATGGATCTCAGATAAAGAAAGTGGAGCAGGACAGAACTACAAGTTTTATATGAGAATAGGTCAACATAGATAAAATAACATTGCATTGATGAAGGGATCAAACACATAAACAGCAACATTGCAAGTCTTATGGGTGTAAATGTTTGTTCAGTCAAGCTCAAGACACAACAAAACACAAAGCACTGTTCTCTCCTGGTCTGCACTGACTTTCTATACAAGACTGAGGGAACCTATATCAGTCAGTGTGGCAGCAAATAGGATCATAATTTTTGTAAAAGGAAATTCTTGTCGTTTTCAATTTTAGACCAGAAAATTTGTTTTCTTGCATTGTGGAATGTTTCAATGAGATTGGATGGATGGAGGAAAGGGACTTCATTAAAACACATCCTTTGAAATCTGTAGTGGTGCAAGAAGAGATTTTTGGAAATGGTGGAAAAATCGTTTCGGTGGATCAGTGAAGAAAAATGGAAAATGGTCTGGTCATACTGGAGAAAGTCTGTAATCCAGAACCCGTGAAGGTCCGGATTAGAATTGATCTTCAGTAACCCTTGTTTGTCGTAAGAGGCGACTAACAGGATCGGGTGGTCAGGCTCGTTGACTGGGTTGACACATGTCATCGGTTCCCAATTGCGTAGATCGATGTTCATGCTGTTGATCCTGGATTGTCTGGTCCAGATTCGATTATTTACAGACTGCCGCCATATAGCTGGGATATTGTGCTGAGTGCGGCGTAAAACTAAACTCACTCACTCACTGTAATCCAGATCATTTTAGTGATTGGTTTTAAGATTTTACTGGTGATGAAGATCAAAAGCACATTCTCAGATGATCCCTTGATTTAGAAACCCATCTTACACTAAGGGACTGTTCATAATTTATGTGAGGACCGCCTCCGTTGTGTAGTGGTTAGAGCGTCCACCCGGAGAGAGGAAGGTGCGGGTTTGATCCCCGACCAGCGTCATACCGAAAGACGTTGGTACTTGTTGGTCCCTGCCTGGCGTTCGGCATTAATGGGTACAACAAGGACTGGTCGGCTCGGAGTCAGTATAATGTGTCTGAGTGGGGTATTCATGCTTCACTGCGGCATGGTATCTCAGTGGGCTAGCACTATAAAACCAGCTTCAGTCTGGGCTAGTACAAGCAGCCACACATACACATGCATGCACGTCATCATATGAGTGAAATATTCTCAAGCACGACGTTAAACCCAATTTCACCTCACCTCACCTCATAATTTATGTGAGGGGGTGGATGATGATTTTAAGGGGTCCCCCATTTTGTTCTGGGGAGGTAGGGTGGGTCATCAATTTTGTACACATGTACTTGGGGGGTCATCAATTTTGTACATAAAAATATTAAAAACTTATTAAGAGGGGGTTGGGGAATTGATTATGTACATGACATGCAGAGGGGGGTAATTTACCTTGTACATAAATATTAGAGGGGTCATTCACATTGTACATGCTTTTCCATAAATAATCATCATCATCGCTATCACATCATCATCATCATCATGCATCATCATCATCATCATATCACATAGCTGGAATATTGCTGCTGCTGCGTAAAACTAATCTCACTCACTCACATCATCATCAACAACATATCACAGAAGCGGTGACCGGTCCCTAATGTCACCACAGCTGCTTACCAGATGCATTCTAATTAGCCCTAATCTGGAACTAGTCATGAGGTACAGATGTATACCGGTAAATGTTGATTAGCAGCACACATTGCAAGTAGTAACAGTATGTTCTAACCAGTGATTTTAAAACACTTCAGGCATCTTGTGCTTTCCTCCAATCATCAGCTGTTTCTTGGCTGAAAACCACAGCAGTACCTCTTTGAAGTGTTAGAACTTTACTGATTAGTTCAAGGACCGCTGAGTGGTTGTCAGTGATCATGTGAACGTATCACAGAATTTGTACATCTGGAACAAATATTGATAGTGCTGCTGTATCATGGAATGATAGCAAAAACTGTCCCATGGGAATTATTTCCCCAGAGAAAAACGGTACAAAGGAACAATTTCACCACAGAGAGACACTGTTTGACACTGTTGGTAGTTCAACCCACTGCAGTGTTGCTCGTGTTGTCTCCATTATTTGTTCATTAGGATCTCCTTTGTTGTGGATAGATTCACCCACCACCGTGCCCCTCAAGTTGTCTGCGTTGTGAGTAAGTTACTGGCAAACAAGGATAAGTTGGACCAGTGCAGAGAACGCGTTTACGAGAAGTAGGCAGTGCACGGCAATGAGCAAACCCATTTGGTTTGTGAAAGGTAGAGCAGATGTAGGCTAGTGCACGTGCAGTGCATGACGATGAAATTGTTTCCGTGCGCAGCTGCACATGCCTTGCTCATAAGACTCGGTGTAGCAAGTCACATTACACTTGATCGCGGACAACCTGGGGCCCCGTCACTAACAATGGCAAGTACCAGTGGGCGGCACTCATACATGCTAATATGGGTCAATTATCAGGTTGGTGCTCAACTTATCCTTGTTTGCCAGTAGTATGTTTCCCCCGCTACAGTGCCCCTCAAGTTGTCTGCGTTGTGAGTAAGTTAGTATGTTTTGTATTGTAGATAGGTTCCCCCGCTACAGTGCCCCTCAAGTTGTCTGCGTTGTGAGTAAGTTAGTAAGTTTTGTATTGTAGATAGGTTCCCCCGCTACAGTGCCCCTCAAGTTGTCTGCGTTGTGAGTAAGTTAGTATGTTTTGTATTGTAGATAGGTTCCCCCGCTACAGTGCCCCTCAAGTTGTCTGCGTTGTGAGTAAGTTAGTAAGTTTTGTATTGTAGATAGGTTCCCCCGCTACAGTGCCCCTCAAGTTGTCTGCGTTGTGAGTAAGTTAGTATGTTTTGTATTGTAGATAGGTTCCCCCGCTACAGTGCCCCTCAAGTTGTCTGCGCTGTGAGTAAGTTAGTAAGTTTTGTATTGTAGATAGGTTCCCCCGCTACAGTGCCCCTCAAGTTGTCTGCGTTGTGAGTAAGTTAGTATGTTTTGTATTGTAGATAGGTTTCCCCCGCTACAGTGCCCCTCAAGTTGTGTCTTAGTAAGTTTTGTATTGTGAGTAAGTTAGTAAGTTTTGTATTGTAGATAGGTTCCCAGCTACAGTGCCCCTCAAGTTGTCTGCGTTGTGAGTAAGTTAGTAAGTTTTGTATTGTAGATAGGTTCCCCACTACAGTGCCCCTCAAGTTGTTGTCTTGTTGTGAGTAAGTTAGTATGTTTTGTATTGTAGATAGGTTCCCCGCTACAGTGCCCCTCAAGTTGTCTGCGTTGTGAGTAAGTTAGTATGTTTTGTATTGTAGATAGGTTCCCCCGCTACAGTGCCCCTCAAGTTGTCTGCGTTGTGAGTAAGTTAGTAAGTTTTGTATTGTAGATAGGTTCCCCACTACAGTGCCCCTCAAGTTGTCTGCGTTGTGAGTAAGTTAGTATGTTTTGTATTGTAGATAGGTTCCCCCTACACCGTGCCCCTCAAGTTGTCTCGCGTTGTGAGTAAGTTAGTATGTTTTGTATTGTAGATAGGTTTCCGCTACAGTGCCCCTCAAGTTGTCTGCGTTGTGAGTAAGTTAGTAAGTTTTGTTTTGTATTGTAGATAGGTTCCCCGCACTACAGTGCCCCCTCAAGTTGTGGCGCGTTGTGAGTAAGTTAGTATGTTTTGTATTGTAGATAGGTTCCCCACTACAGTGCCCCTCAAGTTGTCTCGTTGTAGTGAGTAAGTAGGTGTAGATAGTTTTGTATTGTAGATAGGTTCCCCCGCTACAGGTGCCCCTCAAGTTGTCTCGCGCTTGTGAGTAAGTTAGTATGTTTTGTATTGTAGATAGGTTCCCCGCTACAGTGCCCCTCAAGTTGTCTGCGTTGTGAGTAAGTTAGTATGTTTTGTATTGTAGATAGGTTCCCCGCTACAGTGCCCCTCAAGTTGTCTGCGTTGTGAGTAAGTTAGTATGTTTTGTATTGTAGATAGGTTCCCCACTACAGTGCCCCTCAAGTTGTCTGCGTTGTGAGTAAGTTAGTATGTTTTTGTATTGTAGATAGGTTCCCCGCTACAGTGCCCCTCAAGTTGTCTCGTTGTGAGTAAGTTAGTATGTTTTGTATTGTAGATAGGTTCCCCGCTACAGTGCCCCTCAAGTTGTCTGCGTTGTGAGTAAGTTAGTATGTTTTGTATTGTAGATAGGTTCCCCGCTACAGTGCCCCTCAAGTTGTCTGCGTTGTGAGAGTAAGTTAGTATGTTTTGTATTGTAGATAGGTTCCCCCGCTACAGTGCCCCTCAAGTTGTCTGCGTTGTGAGTAAGTTAGTATGTTTTGTATTGTAGATAGGTTCCCCCGCTACAGTGCCCCTCAAGTTGTCTGCGTTGTGAGTAAGTTAGTATGTTTTGTATTGTAGATAGGTTCCCCCGCTACAGTGCCCCTCAAGTTGTCTGCGTTGTGAGTAAGTTAGTATGTTTTGTATTGTAGATAGGTTCCCCCGCTACAGTGCCCCTCAAGTTGTCTGCGCTGTGTGAGTAAGTTAGTATGTTTTGTATTGTAGATAGGTTCCCCCGCTACAGTGCCCCTCAAGTTGTCTGCGTTGTGAGTAAGTTAGTATGTTTTGTATTGTAGATAGGTTCCCCCGCTACAGTGCCCCTCAAGTTGTCTGCGTTGTGAGTAAGTTAGTATGTTTTGTATTGTAGATAGGTTCCCCCGCTACAGTGCCCCTCAAGTTGTCTGCGTTGTGAGTAAGTTAGTATGTTTTGTATTGTAGATAGGTTCCCCCGCTACAGTGCCCCTCAAGTTGTCTGCGTTGTGAGTAAGTTAGTAAGTTTTGTATTGTAGATAGGTTCCCCCGCTACAGTGCCCCTCAAGTTGTCTGCGCTGTGAGTAAGTTAGTAAGTTTTGTATTGTAGATAGGTTCCCCCGCTACCGTGCCCCTCAAGTTGTCTGCGTTGTGAGTAAGTTAGTAAGTTTTGTATTGTAGATAGGTTCCCCCGCTACAGTGCCCCTCAAGTTGTCTGCGTTGTGAGTAAGTTAGTATGTTTTGTATTGTAGATAGGTTCCCCCACTACAGTGCCCCTCAAGTTGTCTGCGTTGTGAGTAAGTTAGTAAGTTTTGTATTGTAGATAGGTTCCCCCGCTACCGTGCCCCTCAAGTTGTCTGCGTTGTGAGTAAGTTAGTAAGTTTTGTATTGTAGATAGGTTCCCCCGCTACAGTGCCCCTCAAGTTGTCTGCGTTGTGAGTAAGTTAGTAAGTTTTGTATTGTAGATAGGTTCCCCGCTACAGTGCCCCTCAAGTTGTCTGCGTTGTGAGTAAGTTAGTATGTTTTGTATTGTAGATAGGTTCCCCGCTACAGTGCCCCTCAAGTTGTCTCTGCGTTGTGAGTAAGTTAGTATGTTTTGTATTGTAGATAGGTTCCCCGCTACAGTGCCCCTCAAGTTGTCTGCGTTGTGAGTAAGTTAGTATGTTTTGTATTGTAGATAGGTTCCCCCGCTACAGTGCCCCTCAAGTTGTCTGCGTTGTGAGTAAGTTAGTATGTTTTGTATTGTAGATAGGTTCCCCGCTACAGTGCCCCTCAAGTTGTCTGCGTTGCTGTGAGTAAGTTAGTATGTTTTGTATTGTAGATAGGTTCCCCGCTACAGTGCCCCTCAAGTTGTCTGCGTTGTGAGTAAGTTAGTATGTTTTGTATTGTAGATAGGTTCCCCGCTACAGTGCCCCTCAAGTTGTCTCATGTTGTGAGTAAGTTAGTATGTTTTGTATTGTAGATAGGTTCCCCGCTACAGTGCCCCTCAAGTTGTCTGCGTTGTTGTGAGTAAGTTAGTATGTTTTGTATTGTAGATAGGTTCCCCGCTACAGTGCCCCTCAAGTTGTCTGCGTTGTGAGTAAGTTAGTATGTTTTGTATTGTAGATAGGTTCCCCGCTACAGTGCCCCTCAAGTTGTCTGCGTTGTGAGTAAGTTAGTATGTTTTGTATTGTAGATAGGTTCCCCGCTACAGTGCCCCTCAAGTTGTCTGCGTTGTGAGTAAGTTAGTATGTTTTGTATTGTAGATAGGTTCCCCGCTACAGTGCCCCTCAAGTTGTCTGCGTTGTGAGTAAGTTAGTATGTTTTGTATTGTAGATAGGTTCCCCCGCTACAGTGCCCCTCAAGTTGTCTGCGTTGTGAGTAAGTTAGTAAGTTTTGTATTGTAGATAGGTTCCCCGCTACAGTGCCCCTCAAGTTGTCTGCGTTGTGAGTAAGTTAGTATGTTTTGTATTGTAGATAGGTTCCCCGCTACAGTGCCCCTCAAGTTGTCTGCGTTGTGAGTGCCCCTCAAGTTGTCTGCGCTGTGAGTAAGTTAGTAAGTTTTGTATTGTAGATGGTTTAGTGCCCCTCAAGTTGTCTAGCGCGTTGTGAGTAAGATGTTTTTAGTATGTTTTGTATTGTAGATAGGTTCCCCGCTACAGTGCCCCTCAAGTTGTCAAGTTGTCTGCGCTTGTGAGTAAGTTAGTATGTTTTGTATTGTAGATAGGTTCCCCGCCACAGTGCCCCTCAAGTTGTCTCGTTGTGAGTAAGTTAGTATGTTTTGTATTGTAGATAGGTTCCCCGCCTACCGTGCCCCTCAAGTTGTCTGCGTTGTGAGTAAGTTAGTATGTTTTGTATTGTAGATAGGTTCCCCGCTACAGTGCCCCTCAAGTTGTCTGCGTTGTTGTGAGTAAGTTAGTAAGTTTTGTATTGTAGATAGGTTCCCCGCTACAGTGCCCCTCAAGTTGTCTGCGTTGTGAGTAAGTTAGTAAGTTTTGTATTGTAGATAGGTTTCCCCCGCTACCGTGCCCCTCAAGTTGTCTGCGTTGTGAGTAAGTTAGTATGTTTTGTATTGTAGATAGGTTCCCCCACTACAGTGCCCCTCAAGTTGTCTGCGTTGTGAGTAAGTTAGTATGTTTTGTATTGTAGATAGGTTCCCCCACTACAGTGCCCCTCAAGTTGTCTGCGTTGTGAGTAAGTTAGTAAGTTTTGTATTGTAGATAGGTTCCCCCGCTACAGGTGCCCCTCAAGTTGTCTCGTTGTGAGTAAGTTAGTATGTTTTGTATTGTAGATAGGTTCCCCCGCTACAGTGCCCCTCAAGTTGTCTGCGTTGTGAGTAAGTTAGTAAGTTTTGTATTGTAGATAGGTTCCCCGCTACAGTGCCCCTCAAGTTGTCTGCGTTGTGAGTAAGTTAGTATGTTTTGTATTGTAGATAGGTTCCCCCACTGCCCTGGCCGATGCTGAGTTAGAAGCAGCACTGCGGAGTGCGGCCACAGACCATGGTCTGTACGTACCCAGTGGTGCATTCTGGGGAGGAGACGACGTCAAGAAGATGGCGGACCGGGGAACATTACAGGTATTCTTAATGAATTCTAAATACACCTGCACTCTTTGCAACTATGTTAATAAAAGATGATCACTCAGAATCACTCATGATCACTCAGACATTTCGCAGTGTTCAAATGTCCTAACATCAAAACATCGGTTAGTCTATTTTATGGCTATTTTCCAGGCTTTGAAAGTCACAATGACTAAACACCCATCAAGCTTCAAACTCAATGGTCAGCTGAAGGTCAAGAATGACCAAGTAACAGACACAAAGAAGGTGCTGTACGATGGTGAGTCACATGAGATGGATTTTCACCAAAGTTAAACTTCTTGTAATTGTCTCACCCCAGAGAAGATTCAAGATTGATTCCCTAACAGCAAACAGTTGAATAGAATACCAGGGCCTCAAAGGCCGAATGAGCTAATCGAGGGATCAGTGCAGTGGTTGCCATATGACGATATTGATGTTTTACAAAACAGAGCTGCACTTTCCTGATAAATTCCCAAACTAAATGTTCATTGCAGTTCTTATACTTCAGTTAAAGGGAGTAGGTTATGTCAATACATCCTGATTCTCCTTCTAAGACAATTACCTACACATATGATAACAATATTTCAAGCTGAGCAACAATATGCTTACTTACCTCGCTGGAAATCAGACTGATGAAGATGTTTTACCTTCAATTACTTAGTAGTTTATTTGGTTTTAGGCCATCAGCCCATGTAAATCATTGAGCATTAATATACTGATGTAGTGACAGTGACAATGATTACACATTGTGGACAGTCTAAGTAAACTTAGGCTCAGTATTATTCGTTACACTGCTATACTGAGTCTAACAAAACCTTGTGAAAGGTCCGTCAGGTAACCTGTCCAATTGACCAATCAGAACACAGCTTACCAAATCGAGAAAGTGGCCATTCGCACATACCTTTTGAACTTTTCCTCGAAAAAGTTTGTACCCGAACGATTCCGAATGCTATTTTCCATACGATCGGTTCCTAGTGATGCACGCCACAGCAGTGAGTAAACATTAGCTGAAATACGCTTTGTCAGTATTAGAGCATGTCAGCTTGCGGAAATATTAGCTAATTATAACCATGTCAACAGGAACCCCAAAGCGTATATACCGCAGGTCAAATATCAGTGTTTTATGCAGATTTTCATTTGTTGGGAGATCACTCTTGGCGACCAGGGACGAGAAAATCCATTTTGTAAGTCCCGCCGAACCCTAAATAGTAGCCGTTGTCTGATTGGTTAAATCCGTGTCGCCTTTGATTGGATGGTCTTAGGTCGCTTAAAGGTTACCTGACGCGACCTTTCACAAGGTTTTGTTAGACCAGGGATAATAGAGTATCCCTGGTTAGACTCAGTATAGCAGTGTAACAAATAATACTGAGCCTAAGTTTACTTAGACTGACATTACGGAGAGAAAAACATATTTTGCAACATATAGAATAATTTCATGATCTTTACTGCATACTAGTAACTTATAAGAATAAAAAGTAGGGTTATCTGAAAATCTACATGGTATATTACTCCTTATCAAATTATACATTTGGCAGACACAAAAAAGTGTATAACATCTTCAACTTCATTAGTTCTTATAGAAACACAAACATTTATCTATACAACCAGTAGTTGTATAAATAGGTAACTCGTCTAATCTAAGAAAACATAAATATCTCCTGAACTCCCAATTTCTAATATTCATGATATACCTTCACTGTTTTTGAGATGGCAGCTAAAATCCCATAACCTGTTGATGATTCCAATCCAGTAAGTTCATAGAAAGCTGCTTGATGCAAGAGTACATATGTCCAAGCATTAAGAGGTTGAATGCTGCCACAAACACACATGACATAGAACGCTGATTGTGCTCCTTCACAGGTCCCGTGCGGGAGTTATGTCCCCTGGCTCCCAACAACGTCAACACCATGGCTGCAGCTGCTCTAGCAGCACACAACCTCGGCTTCGACAAAGTACAGGGCTGCATCGTGGCTGATCCAGAGTGAGAAGAGTGTTGTGTACATTTGTGTTTGGTATTATTTATCCAGATGGACTCATTACAAGATTGTATTTCATCTGTCCATCAGATCCATCCTGATTCTGAAGAACTGCTTTACATATAAGAAACAATTTTGCATAATTTCTTTGGGTTCTCAAGTATATTTCTTCTCGAAGAAAATGTGTACTATTTGTCCGATTCTGTCTTTCTTGACCACCAGTTCTCTTGTTTTATATTTCTGTTTCTTTTAATTCAGCATTATTTTGTCATTGTCAATAATACAAAGTATCAAATCCTTCACTTTATTGTTCCAAGTACCAGTAAAGTACAAATAACCGTTGCAAGGGTATTTCAGAATTAGTATGTCATCAACTGGGAATGATTTGAGCTCTGATGTAGAAATTCATAATTAGATTTATTGCAAACGTTGGGTCCTGAGAACATTGGTTGAAACATTGCCCCAATGGTATGGAACAATTGGTGTTTCTGCCTTTGTTTTGTAGAGGCCTAATCCAACTGTTCCCTGGCAGTTCCAGCTGCTTAGTGGACCAATGAAACTGTATCTACTCTCACTCACTCACTCACTCACTCACTCACTTCTTGATATTGGTTGCTCACTCACTCACTCACTCACTTACTTCTTGATGATTGGTTGCAGGTTGTGAGACTGGCACATTGTGGTTGTTGAGGCAGTGGACCACATTCACTTGTATGCTGTCACCTAACAGACTCTGTGATTGGCTACAGGTTGAGAGACTGGCACATCGTGGAGGTGGACGTGTGGGGCCCAGGAGATATGTCTACAGGGTCAGCCTTCCACTGTAAGACTGTCCGGAGTAACCCGGCTCAAGTTGGACATGTCACTGGCTTGGCTACCTATGCCTCCTTCCTCAGCAGCTTGTTGGGTAGGTCTTGCATATGATTGTGTGGTCCAGGCTTTATTATTTCCATCCTGCAGTGACAGCTTGGGAATTCTGCTTAGGGTGGTGTTAACCAACAAACTTCATGATTTTCAGGAACATTTGTGTTCAGATGGTACCATCTTTATAGTCTAGTGGATAGAGGGTTGACACAGGATGCAGAATATTGGCCACGCAATACCCAAATGTGTTAAATGTTTGTAATTATGTCTTATCCACGGCATTAAAGAGATAAACCATGAACTGGTTGACTTGGAGTCAGTAAACTGAGATGAGTATACACTCCATGGAGCTGCAGCATGTCGGTAGTTAAGTGAAATGTCCTTAAAGGCAAGAATTTTATGGATGTCAACTTCTTTATTGTGATGGACACGATGTTTCGAAGTATATCCTTACTCCTTCATCGGGTGAGTGACACAATTAGGAACAAACAGCTATATGTGTACATGTGAAAACAACAACAGTTATGAGATAACAAGGGGAAGCAGTAGTTATATGGCACTAATTGGTAGGTGGACAAGTGGAAGTCATGGATTGTTAATCCAGGCATGGTTGATGTGGTAACAATAGTGGCATCATTTATGTGTATCATTTCTAAATGCCATTCAAAGACTCTGAACTGTTCTTGAAAATGACCTTCAGCAACATTTCATGTCACATGTCTTGGCATTATCCAAATGGATTCCAGAATCTGATCCGGATATCTGTACCTTACTCGCATCAGAGGCGGGGTAGCCTAGTGGTTAAAACGTTTGCTCGTGATGTCGAAGACCAAGGTTCCATTCCCCACATTCCCTCAATGTCTGAAGCCCATTTCTGGTGTCCCCCACCGTGATATTGCTGAAATATTGCTAAAAGCAGCGTAAAACCAAACTGACTCAATGCAAATTGCAAGTCAGACATTTCCTAAATGTTATTTCCTCACATATAAACAGCAAATTCTGTGTAATTGTAAAAATCAGATCATATTGAAAATGAACACATCCTTTTTCACTTCACCGGAATCAGTAGATACTCTTTCATGTGTGGTCGTCTGCGGGGTATAAAAGTTTATTAAATACAAAAGTTCATAGTGGGTGGGGTAGGTTAGGTAGTTGGGTGCGGCTGGCCGTGAGTACCTACCTTTGTAGTCAAATATGTGGAAGCCTAGGCCCATCTCGGACCTCGTGGCGGGGAGACAGGACGATGTCCACGCTTCTTGCATGCTCCGCCATCTTGAGGGCAGAGATGCAAAGGGCGTCTTGCGATTGGCGAAATCTGGATTTCCCCAGTCCGCGTGGCCCCGATGTCGACTATATAGGCCTACCCTAGGTAGGGAATCGAATCAGTCGATCCGATACCGCGTGAGATCGGGTAAGTTTCTAGCGACTCCGAGTCTTGGATCAAGACCAAGTTTAAGTTTCCACATATTGTTTGTTGTTTTAGGGATGTCGTGTTGATTTAGTGTTAGTTTGGGAAGGGGAGAAATAGTATAGGAATGAGTAGGTTTGGTTCTGTTGTTTTCGGGGAGTAGGTATTAGGGGGTGGACATAGACCAAAGTTAAACTGTATTTATGTAGGATTTAGGTAGGTAGATATATGTAGGCTTGTTTTAGATTAATACGTTTTTCACAATAAACAAGAATGGAAACCTAAATATTCGTTTGTTCTGACTTTAATTGAGTTGAATTGGGAGAACCCGCCAGGAACCATTCCCACAGAACTTGCAGACAAGATGTACTGACCAAGTAAAGAGACCAATTATCAAACACAGCATAAAGCATTTTACTTCAGTAACCAACCGACACTTGTCATACATATACAACGTTCTGCTGTCACTGGAAGCGTCTGTTTTACAACACTCACTTGCAGCTAGGCCTATTACAGATTTGGTGCCGAGACCAGGATGAGGGTTTGGTTTTTTTTCCAATTTTTTCTCAGTGTAGTCTACCAAAACATGTCTGAAGATTTAGGTCTAAATTGTTCTTTGTTGTCGAGACTGATGATCAGTTTTCGTGGTAGTGTCGGTGGTAATTTGGAGGAACCACTTATCGATTTGACAAGTGAGTTGCCCCCCATTTGAACAAAATATGTATCCCACTTCGCCCGTATTCACCTCTTTCTCAAATAGGAAATGGTGTTGGTTTAAGACAGATGAGTAGGGATACACAGTTACCATCAGCTTATGGTGCGTCACGCCAGAATGCTGATCATCGAGTTTGTTTGGTCATATATCAGATGGAATCATGAGTGGTAGCCGTTCTGTACATTTCAGTACACCAGAAATACAGGATGGGTTGCATACTGATTTTCGGATTCTAGAGGTTGGAATTGTTTAAGACAACCAAATCCAGTCGAGAACTGTTTTGACGGGTTTGAAAAGTCTAGGTTATCTCATCGTGAGGTTGTGCCTGAAAGATTTGATGGAATATCATGTGATTGGCAGGATTTTATTGTTCATTTTGAACAAGTAGCTTCATGGAATGGGTGGACAGAATATGAAAAGGCTCAACAACTTAGTATGTGTTTGAGAGGTGCAGCACAAAAACTTTTGAGTAGTCTTACGTTAGGGCAACTCAGCAGTTATCAGGCAGTGAAAAATGCATTGAGTCAACGTTTTAATCCCGTTGGAGCGGAATGTAGCCTACAGAAGTGAATTTGAAATCGTGCGTCAAGGTCGCGGACGAGGCCGCACTTGATTATGGGTTTGAACTCAGGAGACTAGCAAATTTAGCTTACCCTACCAGCACCCCTTCATCACTTGAGGTACATTTGATTGATCAGTTTTAACTGGCCTGCATAAGCTTGACAGAAAACATGTTACATTTGCACATCCACAAGCGCTAGAAAATGCATTTCATATGCCATTGAGTTCGAAGCCGTTGATGGAAGCAGGAAAAAGAAACCTGAAAGTTTAGACAGGGTGGCAGGAGTGAACCAAACTAGGCAACCCACTTGATAGTGGTGGGTTGACACTGGAGGCAGTCTAAAGTTAATAGATGATGCGGCAGGAAAGTTTTAAGCGTAGCTTCAGAGTGCCAGGCCTAACACCTGCTATGTCTGCAATCAATCAGGGTCACTTCTCGCGATAGGTGTCCCTACTTATCAAAACTGGGTTTGCTTGATCGATCAGATATCAAAGGAAACAGATATGGGAAACTAGTAAAGGCTGGGGTCGAGGCCGAGGTCTCAGCCGATGTTAGAAGGAAAATTTGTAGGCCAGATGAAGATGTAGCTTCTGTGAAAAAACTGTTTTTACTGTTGATATCGAGAGTGCAGTATTAGATTTACGTGGTGGATGGGGAATAGTGTTGATCCTTGGTGAAGCAATCTGTACTCAATGGTGATGGGTTAGAGGAAAAATTATTTTATCTGGTGAAGGGAAACCCGATGAAGTCATCTTCGTCAACTTGCTCCAGTGAATCAGTTTCACGGGAACAGATTGTTTTACATTCTTTGAAACCTCAGGAAATGTTTGTATACAGATGTTTTGGTGAGGCGGGCTTACCTCTAGAATGTTATTGGGATACAGGGTCTCCTGTCTCAATTATGTCGCAAAGATGATGTTCTTAAACTGGGTTTTCTAGGCATTAGTTTGAAGAAAGTTCACAAAGAGTTCTTTCACGGCCAATGGTATGCCTATAGTTGTCCATGGTTCTGCTTGTTTTTGAGTTTTTATTTAGGAAGTGCTTGTTTCAACAAGAGTTTTGTCGTTGCAGACTTGGGTACTATGGGTAGTATTCTTGGCATGGATTTCCTAGAAGGATTATGATGGTGAGGTACATGTGAGACGACAGACACTGTCTACATCTAGAGGTGAACTCAAGTTGTACAAACTGAACACAGGGTGGTTGTCTGCTTGGGTTAGAATCGCTTGACAAGGTTGTTGTTCCCCAGAATTCTGAGAAATTAATCAAATGCACTGTGGAGGGTTCATTTGGTACTGAATTGGGGTTAATTTAGGAGCCAAATAAATATTAGGCGAAGCAAAGGAATATTTGTGGCTAGAAGTCTTGTCCAGCCTGATAGGATGTTGTAGTAATTTCAGTGCTGAACCTGAATAGCAAGAAAGTGTCCATAAACAGTTCATCATTACTAGCTCCACAGTTAGCAAGAGTAGATCAGGTTGTAGCTTTGTGATGATGTTGACACAGATGCACAAAGTTTGGACTTACCGAGTCACTTGCAGTCACTAGTTGATAGATGTTCCTCTGGTCTTTTCGGATAGTCAAAACAGTCCGCTTCTGATTTGGTTCTAGTGAATTTTCAGGATGTGTTTGTGGGTGAAGATGGTTAGATTAGGACAGACAAGATGAGACTACTCACATTATCAATACTGGTGATGCAACTCCTATCAAACTACTGACCCCGAAGGATCCCTTTGGCTAAGAAACAGTTAAGTAGAAGAAAATGAAATTGACAAGATGTTACAACAAAATATTTGTGAACCTAGTAGTGGCCCTTTGGTCTGCTCCTGTTTGCTTAGTAACTAAAGCGTGGCCGGATCCTGCAGATTTTGCATTGATTTTAGAAAATTAAAATAAGGGTGACCTTGAAGGGCGCCTATCCTTTTGCGAGGATAAGAGAGGAAACTCTGGAAACATTGGGTGGTTGTCAATGGTTTAGTACCCTGGATTTAGCCAGCTGGTATTGGCAAGTAAAATGGATCAAGAGACAAACACAAAACTGCTTTTGTTACTCATGTAGGACTCCATCAGTTCAATGTCATGCCGTTTGGTCTTACTAATGCCCCAGCTACTTTTGAAAGATTGATGGACAGGGTATTGGGAAAGTTGAAGTGGAAAGAAGTGTCTGTGTTACCTGGACGATGTTATTGTTTTGGGTCAGATTTTCATTCTGCATTAAACAATCTTAGGTTGGTTTTCATTCAGTTCGCGTCAGAGCTAATTTGAAACTTAAACCAAAGAAATGTACACTTTTCAGTCTGGAAGTTGCTTATCTAGGGCATATGGTTTCAGCAAGTGGTCTTAGGTGTAGTCCAGATAAAGTAGAAGGGCTGTCGAGAAAGCTGGCCCAAAACCGGAGAAACTTCGTTCAGACATTACGTAGTTTTCTTCGGTCTTGTGGGATATTACGGCAGTTTATTCCAAATTTTTCAGAGGTTGCTTCACCTATGGTGCGACTTACTTACTGGAAGGAGTATTCCATTTGAATGGACAAAGGATTGTCAAGAGGTCATTTGATCTGGTTGAAACAATGTCTAATAACTGCTCCAGTACTTGCTTTTCCTCAGGAAAAGGGACTTTATGTGCTTGATACTGATGCTAGTGGTTTTGGTATAGGTGCAGTGCTATCTCAAGGTGCAAGAAGGAGATGAAAAGGTTGTTTCATATATGCAAATCGCGCATTGGACAGTCGCCAATCAGCATAACTATTGCACTACCAGCTACGTGAACTTCCTGGCAGTGGTTACATTCCTTAAGCACTTTAGACACTTTCTTTATGGCCAAAAGTTTATCTTGCATAGCACAGATCATACTCCTTGATATGGCTGAAAAAATTTCAAAGATCCAGGAGGAATCTTAGCAAAGGTGGCTTAGCATTATTGTGGAAACTTATGATTTCAGGATCCAGTATAGGCCTGGTAGGAAGCATCAAAATGCTGATGCTCTGTCCGTAGAATCTCAGCCGGAAATGTACTTTTTGAGAAGTGTACTGATTTGTCATTCTCTCCTGATTTCTCGTGTATTCAACAGGATAATTCAAGTTTGTTACTGTGGAGCGGCCAAATGCTGTTGAACAGCAAAGTGAGTAGAGGTCGTGTTCAGTCACCTGAACCTATCAGTTTAGTAGAAGTTGAAGATGGGAATGTTGAAATACATACAGATTCAAGGGAGAGATCACCGAATTCTGCTGATAGTGTGGATTCAGGAGGTAGGTGAAGTGAACTGTTCAGTGACTCACAGAGCTCTAGTGGTGTGGCTAACTGGTTACCTATGTGGACTAGGGATGAGTTGCTTGACTGGCAAACAGCTGATGGAGGTATTGGTCCCAGTATTAAACTGGATGTCAAAAGACTGTGAACAACCTGAGGAAATCAGAAATCATAGACTGGAGTTCAGATGCAAAAATGCTTAGGGGACAATGGCAAAATCTTAGGCTTGAGAATGGATTATTGTATGCGTAAGGTAGAATCTGAAGTTTTGGGTTTCACGTTTGCAAATTGGTAGAACCAGCGGCACATCGCGATCGTCTATCTTTGATCATTTGCATACATCCCGTTACAGCTGGGCATTTTGGTCGGGATAAAACAATCACATCTATCAAAGCCAGATTCTATTGGCCAGGAATGTAGGATGACATTAAACAGTGGATAAAATCTTTGTGACTGAGGTGTGCTTTCGCTGTAAACCAGGTCCAGTCGAGAGCAGGTCTCCTTTGCAACAAGGAGAATTTTCCATCACGAGCCCCTGGAATGTATCAGCCATAGACATAGTTGGTCAGTCCCTTTGCCTATAAGCAGAAATGGTAATGAGTATATTATGGTAGTTGGTGATTACTATACCAAGTGGAAAGAGGCATTTGCATTGAGGAATCACACAGCTACGTCAACTGTTGCTGACAAATTGGTGTCGGAGGTAATTGCTTGCAGGGTTAGGGTTATCCCCAACAGATTCACTGATCAGGGAGAGAGAGGTTCCAGATCCCATTTATTCACAGAAGTGTGCCGTTTACTTAGGATAAGTAAAACCAGAACAACCCCTTACAGACCTCAATCAGAGCGGCTTTAGTGGAGCCTTCCAACGGCGTACCCTAAAGCAGATGCTCGAAGTATTTACACTCATCAGGAACCTTTGGATTGGGATGACCATCTCCCATACTTGCTCATGGCATATAGGGCCTCTGAACATAAAGAGTACACTGTTCACCTAACTTAATGATGTTGGGGCCAGGGAAGTGAATCTTCCTATAAGATCTAATGATAGGTACCCCACCTGCAACTGAAGGTGAGCTTTGTCCCGTAAGAGCATTGAAATGGCTGAAAGAAACCATGCAGGGCACTTTTCAGTTTGCCAATAAACAACAGTTAGGAGAGCTGCCAAATTCCAAAAGAAAAACTATGACTCTCGATTGAAGCCAAGGACATTCAAAGAGGGCTCTTTTGTCTGGAGGTGGTATCCTCCAAAGGCCAACCAGAAATTGGGATTAGGTTGGGATGGTCCCTACTTAATAGTGGAGCAACTATCCCTTACTACTTACAGGATACAAAGGGCACAGGATAAACCTATTGTAAGTGTACATGTGGATCATTTAAAACCATATGAGGGGGACTCCAAGTCCAAGCAGCTGGTTGAATCAACCACAGCATGACTCGCTGCAGCGGATATACAGAACCGGGATGGATACCTTCCAATTGGAGGAAGAATTTAGAACGCCTGAAGCTATACTGACTGGCAGGGACGGACTGTTAAACCATTAAAAAAGGTTTAGTCCAAGTTAGGAGAAGAGATAAAGGAGATGATTTTCCTTATATTTTATTGGGCTTTGCCAGTTATTTTAAACAGGGTAACTTGCAAGCTGATGTTTATATAGCTTGTTTTTGTTGTTGTTGTTTTTCTCTACATGATTTTCAGGTTGCTCTGGGAAGAATCTTCCCTCTTTCTGCTTGATACTTCTGCTTCGTGCAGAAAATGGAATTCGAAATCCAAGTCAAAGAGGAGGGAGTTGTAGAGTAGCATTTGAGGTGGGGAGAGGCCTATTTGGCCAGAAGATGGAGCAGACTTGTGAAGTTCAAGGATGTGCCAGTGGACACATTGGGACTCCACCGAGAACATGGTAAAACCACTGGGTGAGGGTTTCATCGTCCCCAGCACAACTTAGCCAGTGCACCACCTGTTTAAAGGTATTCCAGAGGAAGAAGGGTGTGGAGGGAACATGTGAAACGATAATCCCCATGGCAGTGTAACCTACGGTTAAAGTAGTAACAGACAGCACTACCCGACCCTGGTGCCTGTCTTCTCCCTCGGAGGGATCTCTCTCTCGGCGTTCCCGTGAGCCAGAGAGCAGAGCAAGTGCCCAGAGTAGGCGCCGCCATGCCTCAGCGAGCCGCCTGAGCCGTCGGAGGCCCAGAAGAGGAGGAACGCCAGGCGTTGCAAGATTCCTCTCCAGCGACTAGTCGCATTTTCGCAGATTCTGTACTGTTACTGTTAATTTTATTTTATTGTTAATTCTTACTTGCTTGTTTTATTTTTGTTTTTTGTGTTTTTTTGGTGTGTAAACTGTTATATATTTATTCTTTTGTTTTGTTTTCATATTTTGGGGATTTTTAGGAGAGGGGCAAAAGGGTAACTTTTGACTTTAAGGGGAAATGTGGGCGTCTCGGGGTATAAAAAAGTTTATTAAATACAAAAGTTCATAGTGGGTGGGGTAGGTTAGGTAGTTGGGTGGGCGGCTGACGTAGTACCTACCTTTGTAGTCAAATATGTAGAAGCCTAGGCCCATGCGGACCTCGTGGCCGGGGAGACAGGACGATGTCACGCTTCTTGCATGCTCCGCCATCTTGAGGGGCAGAGATGCAAGGAGCGTGCGCATTGGCCGAAATCTGGATTTCCCCAGTCACGTGGCCCGATGTCGACTATATAGGCCTACCCTAGGTAGGGAATCGTCAGTCGTCCGATACCCGCATCGGGTAAGTTTCTAGCGACTCCGAGTCTTGGATCAAGACCAAGTTTAAGTTTCCACATATTGTTTGTTGTTTTAGGGATGTCGTGTTGATTTAGTGTTAGTTTGGGAAGGGGGAGAAATAGTATAGGAATGAGTAGGTTTGGTTCTGTTGTTTTCGGGAGTAGGTATTAGGGGGTGGACATAAACCAAAGTTAAACTGGATTTATGTAGGATTTAGGTAGGTAGATATATGTAGGCTTGTTTAGATTAATACGTTTTTCACAATAAACAAGAATGGAAACCTAAATATTCGTTTGTTCTGACTTTAATTGAGTTGAATTGGGAGAACCCCGCCAGCAACCATTCCCACAGAACTTGCAGACAAGATGTACTGACCACGTAAAGAGACCAATTATCAAACACAACGCAAAGCATTTTACTTCAGTAACCAACCGACACTTGTCATACATATACAACGTTCTGCTGTCACTGGGCGTCTGTTTTATTAACACTCACGCGCTAGGCTCTATTACACATGACTGGATTTCTGGTCATTCTCTGACCCTAACTGTCTTTATATGTGTAGATATTCCCAAGATACATGAAGACAAGGCAAGTGTATGGTTATAATGCTCAGGAGATGTGGTGCTTAACAGAAATAATAACCAGATTCAAGGCTGACATGCTTTCACATTTATTCAGATATATTTATATGGTTGTTATCATGTTTAATCGAATCAAAATACAGTTTCTTAATGTCATAAGTAATCATGTTTTGAGAGAATATTCAGTATCCTTAATGTCACAGTAATCTGTTATCCTGATTTTACGGCATACTTAATGTCTGTAATCATGTTATCAGAGATATTACCAGTAATTATGTCACAGTTTGTTAGAGAGTATTCAGTGTAATGTTGTGATTGTTATCAGAATAACGTCCTTAATGTCACAGTAATCATGTTATCAGAGATATTACGGCATCCTTAATGTCACAGTAATCATTTGTGTGAGTACAATGTTGTTAGTGTCTGTATTGATGACATATAAATGTTTAGTGGAATGTAACGTTGCTGTTTCTTTCAGCTGCCAAGGGTAAAGGGTCTGGAGTTCACCTGTGTTGATCTGGGAACAGGAATGTGAATCAAGAAGACTTTCGCCTGTGGGCCTCATCTAATTAGGTTGTCAAAAACAAAATGTTCTGTACTGCCATTATTGCGTTACTACTGCATGTATATTTTAAAGGTTGGGATGGAAATATATCACATTATTATTGATATTCATAATCATTCCTACTTTTTCCTAACTGTTTGTGGTTAGCTTTGTACAAGTCAAGGAGGTGTGAAGTACTAAATATTGGAGTGGCACCATACATCGAAGAAGACTTAGAGCTGAACTAAGTCAAATGTATTCTTACTTAACATGAGGAGTATTTGTTTCACATTGCCACTGGCTGAATTCAGGTCAGGTCGTATTACAAGATGAGTTTGTGTGAAACCATGAATCCAGATCAGCCTGAACAAAGGATTAGGAACTGCGAGTCCTGCAGCACATTCTGGTAAACAGACAAAATGTCAGACAAAAATGTGCAATATCTTGAAAGGAATGTGTGAAATGTGAGGAATTAATATACACAGGACATGCCTGTGGTTGAGGTGGGACACTCAACTCACTCGCTCCGCCCATCAGATCACCTAGACCAGTTTTCTCTCCCAGTCTATGCTTAGAATGTCCGCCCGGAGAGCGGAAGGTCGAGGTTCGATCCCCGACCGCGTCATACCAAAAGACGTTAAAATATGGTACTTGTTGGTCCCTGCCTGGCGCTCGGCATTAATGGGTACAGGACTGGTCGGCTCGGAGTTAGTATAATGTGTCTGAGTGGGGTATTCATGCTTCACTGCGGCATGGTATCTCAGTGGGCTAGCACTATAAAACCAGCTTCAGTCTGGGCTAGTACAAGCAGCCGCACATACACACGCATGCACGTCGTCATATGAGCGAAATATTTTCAAGCACGACGTTAAACCCCATTTCACCTCACCTCACCTCCCAGTCTATATATAGTAACCACCACGCCCCTACACTCTACTGAATCTTAACGGAAACAATGTAGTACAAATACAACACTGTCCCACAATACATGGCCGTGCGGTATAACAATAACCAATGATAATGACTGATGAAAGATTTAATGTGCAACACAGATGGCACAGAAACGTTTCTGTCTTTTACTCTACCAGGCCCAGAAACTGTTCTGTTTTTGTACCTAGCAGGTGCCAGTGAAACATACCCCTACCATATGTATGTAATGCCAGTGCCAGTATTAAAGGTAAATTCTAGTCATATCACTCTTTACTAATATGATGTTGTACAGCAGGTTAAGTTGTACGACTCGGGGAGGTTGTAATTTCCTTTGCACAGTTCCGCCCCTTATGGTGCCAACAAACTACATATTATCACCTATTTGAATCCACCTTGATTGCGTTTCTATGTCTGTCAGCAACTTGTTCATGCTCGTTGGTTTCATAAAAGTGTTAAACGCGAAAATCCTGCGTCAGTCCAGCTAATTTCGTCCATCATAAATTTGCTACATAACTGAACTAGTCAATCTCTTACGGCTTGTAATTTGCTTGAGATTTATTCTAAGCGCAACGGGTGGTGGATGATTTAATGACACAATGCAGTGACGAAGTCATGATTGTAAGTTGAAATGGAAATTCTGTCAATTCTGATTACAATCAATGTACTCAAGTCGAGCAGTTCTGGATTACAACTGATTCCTCGCACCTTGCACGTTGCTAGTAAGTAAATCCCGTGGTAAGACGTGTCTTGCTTGCTTGGTAATTCGTGTTAATTCAGTTGGTGACTTGTTCGGCACTCTCTGCGTCACGTACCCGCGCTATTGAAGTGTGTGGCTCAACTGACTGACTGACTGAGTTTAGTTTTACGCCGCTTTTAGCAATATTCCAGCAATATCACGGCGGGGGACACCAGAAATGGGCTTAACACATTGTGCCCATGTGGGGAATCGAACCCGGGTCTTCGGCGTGACGAGAGGACGCTTTAACCACTAGGCTACCCCACCGCCCCGTGTGTGGCTCAAGCATAAGAATATACAACTCCAGGAGCAGGAATGATTCTGCCTCACGAAGATCCGGGGAAGCTTCTGCCTCAGCAATTGGAACGACGACTAATCGTATCGGGTGGGCCTCCAACTCACTAACTTTGCTGATGACATTCACTTTATTTTGGACAGTGTGTACTGGACTTGGCTGATGTATATTGATGAATCCAAACCGCAATGATCGATGTTCATGATATAAGTCAATTGATTGTCTGCCGGCCAAGACTCGGTTATTTACGGACCCCGTTATTTAGATGGTACTTTGCTGAGTGTGGCGTTAAACAACAAACAAGCGACAACACCTTGTTGCGTTGGCTTCGGATGATCACTTGTGTGTTTTGGAAACGAGGTTTTGGATAACAATTGTCATTTTGTATGAATTATTATTCCAGATATGTGATATGATATGTCCATTATAGAGACAAGTTTTGTATCCCATTAATACAGATATATATATTTATTTTTATATTTGATTTTTTCGTAATTGTTTATGATAAATAAAACTGAATATTAATGGAAATTTGTTCTTTTTCAATTGACGTAAACTTCACCGGCGGGGTTCACTGATTTGTTGCACGCCATGTTATCCCCACTGCGAAGATATACAGATCACCATGCGTGTACACACGGATTTCCGGTCAACTGCTGCGTTACTTTCACCCTGGGAATCAACACGTAGCAGTCGTAAATCTTAATGGAACTGTTCATGTGGCCACATACATACTTTATGAATAGTTGAATGACTCTTGAACATACACAGCCGATCCGGCAGGCAGGAAAGACATGTTTATGTCTCCAGGTAAGGGTTATACGGTGTGTGAACGATTTCACTTTCCTCCACCGGACACAGATCCACTGCTTTCATGTATACTTAAAACCTGTGTAAGTGCCTACCTATATCAATGTTCATCTACACGTCCTGGTCTGCTGGTTTTCTAATGAGAAGAAGTGGGTGTTAATTGCAGGGCTTTTGTGTGTTTACTGTGAGTGCTTACCTATATCATTGTATGGAATATAGGTATGATTGTCCCTTTATTCAAGTCTGGGAGTGTATCAGAACCATGCAACTATCGTGGAATATCTCTTCTAAACATTTCTGGAAAATTATTTGCTAATATATTAGAAAAGCGTTTACGCGCCTGGGTTGATCTAAACGAGCTACTTGACGAGGCTCAAGCTGGTTTTAGATCCGATTATAGTACAACTGATAATTTATTTATATTACAGTCATTATGTACAAAGTACCTCTGCAGACCAAAAGGGAGATTCTATTGCGCTTTCATCGACTTTAAGAAAGCCTTTGATTTTGTTGACCGTAAGAAATTGCTATTTATGTTACATACCAAAGCATGCCATGGCAAAATGTATAATATTTTAAGAAGCATGTATGACTCTGTTGCAGCCTGTGTTAGAACTAATTCTGGCAACACTGAATCGTTTAACACTTCCGTTGGTGTGCGACAAGGCTGTGTAATAAGCCCCGTACTCTTCATCTTCTTTATTAATGAACCTGTAGATGATATGTATAAATCGTGTAATAATGGAATATTTGTTACTCCCCAAATCAAAGATTTACTTTTGCTTCTCTTTGCAGATGATATTGTTACGTTTTCATTCATGGTAAACGGACTGCAGAGACAGATAAATATTCTTCAAACATTTTGTGACACATGGGGACTAGAGTTGAATATGGAAAAATCTAACATAGTTGTCTTTAGAAATGGGGGTATAGTGGCACATTCTGAAAAATGGTTATTCCGTGGCAAAAAGTATTAATGTTGTTTCATATTATAAATATTTGGGTCTTCTATTTTCCAGCCGATTAAATTGGTCCATGGCATCTAAAACCCTTGCAGCACAAGCTAAGAAGGCATTATTTCCTATTTTTAAACTGTTTAAGGCTAATAAGTTTATTTCATTTGACTCAGCTTGCTTACTTTTTGACACTAAAATAGCACCAATATTGTTATATGGATCTGAAATTTGGGGAGTAAACTATTTCGAAGCTATAGAAAATGTGCATGCATCATATTTTAAAAGATTTCTTACTGTAGGTAAATTTGCTTCCAACAAAGCCGTACTTGGCGATACAGGCCGCTATAGCATGCATATTGAGAGTCAAATGAGAGCTATCAGATACTGGATTAAACTTATAAGAATGCCTGATTATCGCTACCCCTATCAAAGCTATCAATTATTATTATCCCTAGACAAACGTGGAAAGTATTCTTGGGCTTCTGGTGTCCGAAATGTGTTATTTTCAAGCGGGTTTTCTTATGTTTGGTTTAAGCAAGATGTTGGTGATATAAAAAGGTTTTGTTAACTTTAAGCAACGAATAAAAGATATATATATTCAGAATTGGCACGCATCAGTAAATTCATCGAGCTTTCTAAGTCATTATTCACAATGTAAATCGATGTTCGGACCTGAAAATATATTAGGGTCCTTAATGATAAGTCCCTTTTAAGAAATTTTGTAAATTTAGAATCTCTCTACATGCCTTAAAAATACAGCGTTATAGAAAAGATAAAAATACATTGAAGATTTATCATGTTCTCATTGTTCTTCTGGTAAAACTGAAGACGAACGTCACTTATTATTAGACTGTGAGGCATTCTCTGCTGGCCGAAAGAAGTATCTAAAATGCTTTAATGATGCCCCACAAACGATATATAAAATACTTAATTCTAATAACGATGACACTATTAAATCAGCTGCCATTTTCATAAAACATTTGATGTCCATCCTTAAATCACATGTAAAACCATAATTTCGTGTCACGTGACCAATATTTGTTAAAATGAAAATTCAACTGTACTATGGGCCACTGTGCCTACATTACTGAATAAAACCTGTCTGTCTGTCTGTCTGTCTGGTTATACGGTGTGTGAACGATTTCACTTTCCTCCACCGGACACAGATCCACTGCTTTCATGTATACTTAAAACCTGTGTAAGTGCCTACCTATATCAATGTTCATCTACACGTCCTGGTCTGCTGGTTTTCTAATGAGAAGAAGTGGGTGTTAATTGCAGGGCTTTTGTGTGTTTACTGTGAGTGCTTACCTATATCATTGTTCGCCCACACGTCCTGGTCTGCTTATTTTCCAGTCAGTAGCTGGATATGGGTGGCAATGGCTGGGCTTTTGTGTGTTTAATACAGGGGCATTTCATCTTCACAAACCTTAGCGAATGGCATGGTATACGTTATTTGAATTATTTATTTCTGCTTTCTGGTCTACTATGGAGAGTGGAATCAATACAACTCCACGAGAACAAATGTAATTTGTTAAAAGAAAAAAATCCGTTACTTAGAGCATGTTTAGAACAATGGTTTGACTTCCACGTCTTCATATGAGTTAAAAGGTTTCGGTTCGGTTATCGCCACGATATTCATGGTCCCAGCTATAGTGTGGACACAGACTACAGATGTATTTTACATTTTAGTAGAATAACCATTCGATGCTTGAAGCATTGTCTGTAGTACCTCCTGGGCAATGTGAAAGTAGGGATATGAAAGGAGGTAACGGAGTAACTGTTGTATATTGTTCGACCTTGACCAAGGTGAAACAATGAGAACTGAAACAGTGAAATGATGGCGTTTGGACACATGAGAACAGTTTCCATTATCGGTTCCGAATAGCTTCAGGCCCTGGCGCCGTAAAATATTAAGACACTTTAATTACTTGTTACCCAGGCAATCGGCTGAGGAGTATTTGTTTCACATCGCTACTGCCTGAATTCAGGTCAAGGTCGTATTTCAAGACACGGGTATTGTGAAACCATGGATCGGGATCAGTCTGGACAAGGGATTAGGAACTGCGTGGCCTACTAGGTCCACGTGTACCCAATGGTACGATGTACTGGAGCTACAGAGAAACTGCAAAACATCAACGTTTCAACATGTTTATTACAATGATAACATATGACATGAACAATGTTCTTTACGGATTTCCAAGAACGTATCTTAGCCAAGCACAGTTTGCTCTGCCCATAAGGGTGATGTGGTACGGTATAGTTTTGCCCTGACGCATGAAGGCGTCGGAACTATCTTCAATTTAATATACATTTACAACCTCATGGATATATAATGATTCCTTACCTTGAGTTACATTGGCGATGGGTTTAAAATCAAACATGTCATAAACGGCGTGGGTGACACGAGACACGACTGACTGTTCCACCCAATGTGTTCTAACCCTGAGTTAGGAGACTTGCTTTGAGAGGCATTTAGAAGTAAGAGCAGTAAGGAAGGATAACAATATATGGATGAACAACTTCTTTATTGCTGTGAGGGCGACGTTTCGGTGTCGGTTCTAACACCGTTATCAAGCACTTGCTTGACAGTGGTGTTAGAACCTACACCGAAACGTCGCTCGCTTGATAACGTTGTTAGAACCTACACCGAAACGTCGCTCTCACAGCAATAAGAAGTTGTTCAATCATATAGTGTTATCCTTCCTGAGTTAGGAGAACAAATATGCTTCAACAATAATAAAATAATTCTAAACTAGGTCGATATGTACCTGTTTGTACGAATTCCCACGCAGTAATACGTTCTTATTGTCAGTTGAGGTTGTCCCGATCGTATGCCGCTTATGTCGATCGGTCGTCAGAATTTCGAAGTAAGACCAGATTTGAAAATTGATTGCCAATGACTGAGCAGTTTCGGAACCCAAACCCGATTCCCCAACACACGAACAGTATTACACGTTGACCAGGTAATACCCCCGTCCATATAGACAGGGAGTACCTGTTGGTATTGACACATCAGCGAATACCGTCACATCGTTTCAGGACATTAGTAGGATGTTCATCATCTACAGAATCCGTCAGCTCTCTACATTTGCTTCAATGCAGTATTTGTGATCAAATGTGGAATCAGAAGTCTACAACGTGATGAACGACTGAGACTATTGGCAACGTGATGAACGGCTGAGACTATTGACAACGTAATGAACGGCTGAGACTATTGGCAACGTGATGAACGGCTGAGACTATTGGCAACGCGATGAACGACTGAGACTATTGGCAACGTGATGAACGGCTGAGACTATTGGCAACGCGATGAACGACTGAGACTATTGGCAACGTGATGAACGGCTGAGACTATTGGCAACGTGATGAACCTATTGGCTGAGACTATTGGCGTATGAACGAGATGAACACAAATATATTATTATGTATCATACACTTCAAACTTATTGGCAGAACGCCTATTGGCGTGCTTCAAACTCGTCGAACTCGTCATACTATTCTCTTATTGATGCATACGGCAGAATTCCTGTGCTTAAAGTTTGCTGATGAAATGAGTACAGGTTAATCACACTAGTCAACGTATGACCTTTTTACGATTGAAAGCTTCGATAATGAATGAATAATGAACACAAATATATTATTATGTATCATACGCATATCAATGTGAAAGATACATACGTAATAGTAAATGTATATATCACAACATTGTCAGTGGCTGAAGCTGTAGAAACATCTAAACAAAAAACCCTGATAAAAGTCCCTGTATCTGTACCAAAACCGGCCATTGAACTAACAAAGACTTGACATACAAGGAACCGAACGTTTGATATTTTGAAACAAATTTTGTTGCTGAAAACGAAACATATGCTTAAATTTTGGCAAAATATATGTATCCTGGCACATGCTGGCTCTTGTGAGCACACATAATTTCGGCTTTTTAACAGATGAACACACAGCCTTTAAAACATCGCGCGACAATACAGCTTGTCTCTAAACACCCATCTCTTGAATAATCAACGAACGGTCAGTAGCGCAGTCCGCGTCATCTATATCACAGTCAACAGCAACATTCAACGTCTTTTGTCACCAGTAACATTATTGCTTTCGTCTTCACGGGGTAGCTGATATCAAACTGGAACCTCCAATACCTTCGGCTACCGGGTGGTTTGTACCTTTTCTGAAAACAAGGTATTGAAAACAGCAGTTATAACATTTGTAACAGTAAATATTTTCCAAGATAAAGAGACAAATATCTAATATTGAGCTGACATAGATTAACATAACTGAACACCGTGCAAGCCAATTTACACCTTTATCCATCCTAACATGCCTTCCTGTCAATGTGAGAATGTGATTGTGGAATTTCAGTATTTCGAAACGTATCTGTGTTATATGAGGGCATTTTGACACGACTGGATAATTATAGCCACCCCTCTTGTAATACTGGGGCGGTGGGGTAGCATTGTGGTTAAAGCATTTGCCAGACCAGACCCCGGTTCGATTGCCCTCATGGGTACAATGTATGAAGCCCATTCCTAGTGTCTACCGCCATGATATTGCTGGAATATTGCTAACAGCGGCGTCAAACATATTGACTCACTCACTCTTACCATACAGTCTTGTGGAGAATTTTTTGTCACTGAAAGTTTTTATGTACAGATCATAATATACTCAATCAAATTAAACACTTGACATTTGTTAAATTAAACCCAACAATGAAAGTAATATGTATAATACTATGAAAATAGATTTTATCATACTGCTGTCATCGAATACCGAATAATAGTTGAGTCCTTCACATGTAGCAAGGATAATGGTTAACCTTTCAGAACGAGATTTGATGGTACTGACACATATGGTCTCACCCTAGGCAAGTAAGTTTGTTCCCCTAGCAGTGAATGGGTACCCGGTGGGAGAAGTCATATGACTGACAACCTTCTAGCGCCTCACAGGCAGCTTGGGTTATCCGGGGTAATAATGTGTTAGCACCTTGAGCCTACACAAGTGCGTGGAAACAGGCGCTTTATTAATAGCTGTTATTATTATATAGTATCAATAGTATCATTACTGGTGCTTCACCCAGCAGTGTATCGCCCAGAATGATGCAGATTTCAGACGTGTACATGGTGCTGATCAACGTAGAAACATAATGGGAATCTGGGATTCGACCCAGTGGTCATAGAAAACCAGAACGCAGAATGAGTGCAAGGCAGCTTCGACCACTGGGCCACCTATGCCTGTCTCCTCAAGTCAGTGGTTATACTTACTCGCCACGAGAGGGAACCCTGCCTGAACCAACTTCTCCTGCAGGGTTTTCAGGTTGGAACCAGGGTTCAGATTAAACCATTTCATCAACATAACAAAAGCCTTTTCGCTGGTGGTTCTTGCAGTTCCACAATCGATCTGGATTATCTCCTCTTTGGGTAAGGCCAGAACTCCAGCCAGACGACGCCAGGCACCACACAAATCCTCGTGGCGTACGGCTGTGTTGAATGCTTTCACCATTTTAGTTTCTAGAAAAGAATTACGCAAGACATACAGCGGAATCAATCTTTTCCTGGGCACATGCAGGTTGTAAATGGCGATGTGAAGCATTATACTTGCTATATTGATATATGGATACGTTGGCACATATGAAGAAGTGGTTGATGCCGGCAAAGTTCGAAAATCGTGGGTTTGAATTCCCAATTTGTCATAATAGTGACTACTATTTGATCGTCTTAATACCTGTCCATGGGCATCAACAAAATAGTAACAATTTAACATAAACATCTGATCAGGCGTTTCTCCAATAATATTTAAGGCGACACCATGATACAACTGACATACTGTTTTAAGAGGAGCTAAAATGTAAACACCTGTTCACTCATTCACTCACTCGCAGAAGAAAATGAACAGTGGAAGATCGGAATTGGATTCGTAATTATAAAAAACAACAACATACGTTTCATGGCTGTCGTTATTTTGAAAACAATACGCAACCCCGAACTGTTTGATTGCCATTTTAGAAGTTGAAGAATGATATCTGATACCGAGACGTCGCATCATAATATGATGAAGAAGTTGTCTTAAAGAAGGTAGTCCCTAACCCCAAGTAGCCTTTTGTCTTCAAACGAAGTACACTTTTGTATATCAATAACGGATTAATCCGACTGACAGCTTACATATATGCATGGAATTATCACAGAGAGAGGTAATAGTGTTCGATATACCTTGTGAATTACCTAGGTTCTAGAACAACATCCTTTGTTGACCAATACATATCGTTTACGTTTGTTTTGATTAATATATAGCTTTGACAGATACGTTATTGATGAGATACTGCCGGTTTGATGAAATAAAGCCGAAATGGTTTACTCTCTATGATGGGTCACCGGCCCATATACATATACCATATATACAATGAAAATATATTGGAAACATGAAATAAAACAATTAAGAGTTTAACAAAGTCTGTCTCCTTTTATAAACAATATATATGTATTTGCATAAATTTAATAATGATTCATTTGGAGCTGAGGTTAACAGGCTTTTGAATATAGATATATTTGGAATTCGGTTGTAAACATGTAGAAAATTAATAATAATAATAATAATAATAATGTCCATTTATATGGCGCCAATCTCCACTGGGGCGTGCTCATAGCGCATACAAGAGTAAATTACGTAATCTTTCTTCAGAAGAATATTTGCATACTAAAAGAGAATGAAATTCATGCTCTATACCGAATTTACAAGCAGGACATGTGCTTAGAGATACATTAATAATTAACCATCTTCCTTCATTCATTTTTAATCGTAATAAGCCTGCTCGGAATTTATAAGAATATTACGATATATAATTTCCTGTATAACAGGTTCTAGCAAACTAGCTCAAACGTCAAAAAGCGCATTGACAGCGGCATCAGTATCACAAGATTTTGGTACCTCTTGCCGAGTCCGCCGTCGCTGTTTTGTACAGACTTTCCTGTGCCTCGAACCAGTCGCTGATATCTTTTCGTCCCAGCGTCTTGATTGCCTGCTTCAAGGAGTGTGTCTGCGGGAAATGATTCAATGATTAAACTCTCAAATGTCCAGCCGCTTCTAACAAATACATGACTCACTTGAACCAAGTGTACAACACATTGCAGTATGGATCTGCAGATCACTTGTGGCAAAGCCACAATGTCAATTCTTGTACAAGTATTCACTGAACTTTGAACCGGACAAGATTTATCACTTTTCAGAATTGTTGATTCTACATGAAAATAAAACATTCTTTGACATAAATAGTCGTTTGTGTTTATTCAGTAAAAATGAAGGTCAATGCGGACAGTTATCACGTGGTCCACACCTGGAAGACACATGCATGTTATTTAATCAATGATTGATGAAATGAAGCTGTCTATTCATGTCAAAACTGCCAACATAATACTTGTGTACTATGTTTATGGCATTACAATGATTACAACGTCTTCAATTCACACCGATTTCAGTTGCTGTTGACGACTCAGAGGATACCAATTTATGAATAGTGAACTTTTACACACTATGGAACAATGTAAGTATCTCCTCTAGGCACAATGAACGCATTTATAAAGACATTTGTTAAAAAAACAAAAACAATTAGTAGCGAAAGTGTAATAAAAGGACATTTCAAATTTCTTCGGGAGATTTTGAGTAGGCGTCATGCAGGGCGGAGGCAGTAGTGGATCGGTGTATCATTACTGGACTATACAATATGAAAGACATCATGCACATCCATATAGGTCCGATATATACATCTATATGTTTATGTACACTACACTTCACAGATAAAGGACATATGAAAATGAAAGTGACAAAAAGAGGTTTTTCTCCTAATGCCAGAATTATTTTGTTGAACAGACAGAAGCTGATTACGTAAGGCAATAGATTAACAACAGAAAGTACAAATAAAATAAATATCACAACAAACACAAAACCTGTAGGTCGGGAACCCCTTCAGATTTGACCTATTAACAGCCAAAAAATATAGTGAAATCATAAAAATAAATATTCAAGTAAAACCAGAATCGTAAATAAATGTGCTCATGATCGGTGTTGCTTATTGCCACACAGATTGACAGCTCTTGCCTTACCAAATCGACATTACCGTGACATCGAAATAGTTTTCTTGTAAATGGCAGCGAAGAGTTACAATCTGATGTTGGTAGCTCACGTCTTTAATTACACAGTCAAACACTCAAAATTATGAATAACTGACTGTTCATCTTGTATACTATTCCGGACAATACTACGTCTTCTGCAAGAATATTTCACATAAAATGTTTACTGAAAGCAAAGTTTTTCACGTACCTTGTCCGCTGCGATGGGTATTTGTTTGTACCACATCAACAACATTTGGCAACACATTTCATTCTGTGTTTTCACTCCCTGGGCAGATGTAATCTTGGTTATTTGGGCATATGAAAACCCCAGGGATGACGCCAAGGCTGTCCAATCCTTGTCGACCAGTCGGGAGAGTCCAGCCAGGAAGTCATGGTCAATCAGGTCTGGGGATATAAATTAAAGCATATTTCACTGATGCTCCGAATAAGAAGCAATGCATACCTTACCAGTTGGCACCAATACATGTATGTGAATTTGTCACAGACCACATGTTGGTTTACGTAAGAGGCTGACAATTTATTCGGTGGGAGGAAATATATTTTCTCAGAATTGCTGATACCAGAATAATTGACAGAAGGTATGTCTAAAACAGGCCTTCAAAGGCGAAACTGCTTCGAAAGCTTAGTTGTACTTAAGATACACTTACCGGGCGGCTTGCTTCCAGGAACACGTTTGATCTGTACAGAAATAAAACCATATGTCGACATGTTTATTGAGACAATCAAATTCGTAAAACCTGACGTGATAATCTAGTAATTTTACTTTCCTTTGTCAATAGGTATGTATATTGTCTAAGTTTGATTTTATCACTATACAATTCTCTATATGGCTGAAATACTGCCGATGTGACTTTAAATGTTAACTCACTCACTCTTAAAAATGATAATTATGTGACGGCCAGTTAGATTGGAACATTTTGGTTGGTAAGGCCATGATTTTCATATGAAGAAAGGAAATATTTTTTTCATAAGAGCGTATTTTTTCTTCTTAAGCCATACTGAAGGACAATTAAAACAATTGACAAAGGTACAAAACAGTTAAGAATAACACTTGTGAGCTCTAGGTTACTAAATGAGTGGTAATACACATATTGTACAATAAACGGTGTAGTAGGTTAACGTCTGAATATTGTGGGCTGAAGCTTCATTCAGACCTCTACGTATTGTACTACTGCTCACTCGAACTGTTTCGAATGAAGCACAGCACGTATCTCATTTGGGTGTATGGTCTAACGCCGAACTAGGGAATAATGCATCTATACACGGCGCAAATAATGACGAGCATCCATGGAATCGGGATGCCATGAATAGGAACAGCTTATATGGCAACGTCTCTATTGCACCTGAACTGGTTGATAAAGGTGTCAGTATCTACACAGAAACGTCACATCCATTGCAATGAAGTTTCTATTCATAAAACTTTTAACTCTTCATCATACCAGCTTCAAAAGTGCCATGGTAATATGATACCATGTTATGTATCAAGCAATTTAGTGATTCTGACAACTTCAGAAACGTCAGAAACATTCCTTCAACTGAATTTCGTATTAGTCGGATAGAAGGATCACAACATAACCAAAACATTTTACTAGAATAAAAAGCAAACAATATTTGCTTTAGATCGTCATACTAGAACAGTGAAGACAGTGTTAAAGCTTATTCCGTCAAGCGGAAACGCTAGGAGGTATGGGGTCATTTATAAGTGAGGGAGTGAGTTTAGTTTTACGCCACACTGAGCACTATTCCAGCTATATGGCGGCGGTCTGTAAATAATCGAGTCTGGACCAGACAATCCAGTGATCAACAGCATGAGCATCGATCTGCGCAGTTAGACATGTGTCAACCAAGTCAACGAGTCTGTCCACCCGATCCCGTCAGTCGCCTCTTATGACAAGCATGGGTTACTGAAAATCAATTCTATCCCGGATCTTCACGGGTAGGGTCGTTTATCAATGGTCAGCAGTTGTCCAGCATGAGTGCGATGTAACATACGCCCATGAATGAGTGAGTTTGGTTTTACGCCGCTTTTTGCAATATTCCAGCAATATCACGGCGGGGGACACCAGAAACGGGCTTCACACAATGTGCCCATGTGGGGAATCGAACCCGGGTTTTCGGCGTGACGAGCGAACGCTTTTACCACTAGGCTACCCCACCGCCCCATACGCCCATGAAGTTAACTGTTTTTTGTCATTAATGTATGTTAATATAATTCGACTTAGAATTTAACTCACCCACTGGAGTTCCGACACCTTGGGGCAGAATGATATCCGTATGCTGGAAATAGATGTAATGAACCCTTATATACATCCTCCGTTCCGTACTACTGTGAATTCGCATAATACTTAACATATTATTTCTGCAAGATATGTATCTTATAAATGTCTTCATAGATATCGATGACCTATATCTACCATAATGCCTGATGCATGTGACCATACTTAAAACAGCATAATAAAACAATATTACGAATGATGTTATATATCAATAGTCTTTAACCCGTAAAGCACCAGCAGGTATTTTAATACGCCATGGTTCTAAAGATCTAACGTTTTCCGATAGCTAAAAATAACACGCCAAAACCAGTAATACACTGTTTCAACTATTTCCCGAAAACGTTTAGGGTATATGAAATAAATGGATCATTGATAGATAGTGTGACAAAAAGAGGAAAAGTTATGATTCCTTGTTTGAAACATAGGAACAACAAATATGTTGCCTCATCATGAAATGCATGTGAATATTTCTCAGCCCTTATGTCTTGTTAGTTACAAGGGAACAGTTTATTTGCCTTTGCATGTGTTTGTGACGGCAGATTAAATTTTAATGAAAGAGGAGAGGGTTTTGTAGCTTTGATTTATCATGTTATCATTATCATGAAAGTAAACACTGTTTGATGGTGACTTAGCACGACACCAGCAACAAATGGGTATTCAATTATGCTGTGTCTGATACGGGTACCATGGTGGTGTTTAAACATTGCAATACTGTGGTCAAATCCACTCTTCATGTGTGTAGTTTCTTTTGAACGTCAGTTTAGTTCTACCTACCCCATTGGACCAACATAAGCCTGGAATATGACCATGGACCCCTCTACCGCTATCTGTGTCGGGGCTTTCCACCAGTTGTTGTCTGACGTGCTGCTCAGTACCAGCCACTCGGACTCAGGATCTGACGAGAAATATTGACGATGGCAACCCATTTGTAAAATAGACACACTTGCGTATCATTAACATTATGCAGCTGCAACAATATTAGGTTATCCAACGTAGATTTGTAAATATCTGAATCCGGTCAGGAAACACGTTGAACGCCTTATAAAGTCAGTGTATGAAATATGCCAAAACCCAGGCAGGCATCAGGGCTGGTAACTTCAAAATGTTACCAGTCCAAAATGGATTTAACCAGACCAGACACCAAGATATATGGTGAATTTACTCAGATGTATGGAACATCTAAAATTTTCACCAGACCATCGGAGTGGCTAGCTGTAAATTTAGACCGACCGTCAGAAATCTAGCCCGTCTCGGGCTGTCGGACGTGCCTTATTTCATACACTGATAAAGTATATAGACAAGGCCACCGAGTCAGACCGACGAGTCTATTAAGTATCCCTAAAGACAAGCACGTATTGCTGGGAAGAGTTATGAAGCAATATAAACAAGAATCTGGCAGGGTTAACAAGAAATAATTACATGCTTTAAATTGACAACCAGTAATGAGTGGCAAAGCAGAATCAGCTGTTTCAGTCAGCGGTTGTTGTTATAATTTGAACTCGCTGTTCCGAGGTTCGAATAATATATGGCAGAGTGAAAAATCACCATAACACCTCTCTAGATATTTCTTTCTCGGTGACTCGTATTACCACATTCAATATGTTACTGTAATCGTGTTGTTATTGAAGATGAGGATGGGCGAAAGGAAACCACTAATCAAACTGATGGCGACTGTGTATGTGTCAAGCCGTTAGACCATTGTGACCTCGACTATAGTCCGTTTGGCTCAAAAGCGGGCCGATGAATTGCAATCTAACGCTGATCATAATCAAAACATCATACCCACTTTGTGAGATTTTTGCAGAATTGTTGTCCTAAAAATAAAAAAATTTGTTTAACAATCTATCATTAAAATATTGACACAGTTCACTATTTGTTACGAGGGAGGAGTGCAGAGAAAGGGACAGCCAGGTGTTCGAGAACGGATGGAGACGGCACAGCACAGGTTAATGAATAAATAACTTTGTCTGTGAACGTGCTTCTCGAACACCTGGCTGTCCCTTTCTCTGCACTCCTCCCTCGTAACAAACAGTGAACTGTGTCAATATTTTAATGATAATTTGTTTAACAACTTTATTATTTTTAGGATACAAATTCTGCGAAAACCTCACAGAGTGGGTATGATGTTTTGATTATGATCAGCGTTTCATCGAGTATTTTATGTTTATTAGTTTTCGAGTTAGATTGCAATTCATCGGTCCGCTTTTGAGCCAAACGGTCTGTAATCATGGAACATGGAAAGCTGCAGACAATGTTATAAATTATTGTCTTCATTTCACATACCATTCCATTAGTTTCCATGACTCTCACACACGGAAATACTCACTGTTTTCATAGGTGTCTGACAGAAATGGAATCTCAACTTTGACAGGACACATAAGGTTCCCCTCGGGTATGACTTGGACAATCGGGACGGGGTGCCTTGGTATCAGCTGGGTGTGTAAACAGGGGCATGTAAACAACACTGATGACATCACGGGGAGCACTGTATGTGCCCATTACCCCATATACATTGTACATAAATACTGGCTGTCGCATTCTACATTTTGGATGCATATTTATCATTGTCTAATTAAATTACAATTTAAAAAAAAATCAGATTGGGCTGCTTGGATTGTTGTGTGGAGACAGTGTTATTTCTACATCCCCTTTCTTACACAAGACATTCTATTTAATTGTTTCATTCATCAATTCGAAATAGTAGGTCGGTCTCTTCGTCAGCAACCGGATGTAATAATATAAAACACTACCCTTATTAAGACCCTGTTCAATGAACAAATCTACAAATCTATAGTTTGAGAGACAACTTATCGTGCCGAGTTGCCTCCCTTAGCTGTTCAATGGCCCGAGGATCGTGCATTCAAATCTCAGGGCCATTCTGATTATAGTTTTTAGATTGTCAGCACCACAGCCGTGCCCCTGAGTTTCGCCAAAGTAGCTAACTTCTACGTTATCCATGAGGTCCGGCATTACCTCACATTTAGCTCCAACATGGTGATCTACCTGAAATACTGTTCAAGTCACGCCCATCCTTCCATTGATAGTGGTTAATAAGCACATTCTCATGATTAAGTCAAATTGTACAATCGAATCTGCATTTAGCAGGGATGTTTTATGGATGTGGAAAATGCTTTTTTCTCCAAAAAAGGTCATTTCAATTTGGGACAAAATACGTAACAGTAACTAACCTTAATCGTCACATCACAGTGAGATTTTACACATCCTTCCGCATAGAAGAACCTTGACCTTGGCTCAAACGGAAGTGAAAACTCGCCACCAGATGGCGTAACCGATTGAACAAAAGCTTTTGGTTCCGAGACGCATGCAATGTAATCTGGAAGAGTGTCACTTAAACAAGCAACCACAAGTCCTTCACTCTCACTTCCTAAACCCTGAAAAACAAGGAATCCAAGCAATGTAAGTCATTCAGTTGGAATTAGTTCAATCAAGTAAAATTTCAGGCTTTACAAAATATCATTTACGAACACTCATCGCGGACTGGCGTAACTTAAAATAACGCTATTGTCTATATACGTAACCAAAACTGGAAACAAAAGTTTACAGAGGTAGAATCGGAATATTTCATTGATGCCTAGTTTTGATTCCTGAACCCAAATATCTATCCAAAACATAACATTTCACCATGTAGTAATCATGTGTGCTTCATGTATATGGATCCTGGATCCTGGGTACTGTTTGGAAGCTTTTGATAACTCTATCTTACTTGTGTTTCGTCCGTTTGATGTCCAACGTCTAGTAAGTATCGAAGCGAGAGATAGGCATACAACTGATTTCGGTAAAGTCTTATATTTCCACTCAGATGGCCTTCCTTCACATTAAATACACTGGTACGACATACCGACTCCTGGTGACTACATGGCAAGTTGGACTTTTCCGTCGATTTCAATTAACGGTGTTGTATATGACATAAGTTATGGATTCTGATTGTGTGCACTTTCCTTTTGAGATTTCTAAACAAATAGTAAAAGGCAGATCGTCCTAAATTATAACATTCAGTCACGACAACTAAATACATATATTTAGTGGACTCTAAATGCCTCTGTGAAGGAAACCTTACATTCGCCCACTAGCTACTCGCTCGGCCCTCCCCCCACTAAAAACAGACCCGTTATGATTACGGGTTAGAATTGGTTTTCAGCAACCCATGCTTGTCGTAAGAAGGGACTAATGAGATCGGGTGGTCAGGCTCGCTGACTTGTTTGACAATATGTCATCGTATCCCAACTGCGCAGATCGATGTTCATGCTGTGTTGATCACTGGATTGTCTGGTCCAGACTCGATATCGATTATGTTCAGACCGCCGTTATGTAGCTGGAATATTGCTGAGTGCGGGGTTAAATATGAAACAATAAATCAATCACGAACAACGACAGCCTCACACGATCAAATGATATCGATATTAATTAGAACATATCTCACATTGTGTTGTGCACCGCTGCTCGTTGTGAGGAATTTCCACTTCTTGGAGTGTTCTGACCGAACGGCAATAATGGCGTTTTCATATGGATGAGGATGTTTGGCTATCCTGAACTGGAGATTTACGGGCTGCTTCTGCAGACGAAAGATACATCAGACATTAAAGAAACCGCCTCTGGTAGTTATTCAATATTGCAGTCAGCGGTCCAGATATCACACCAAAATCGCTCATATTCGTCCCAAATCGGAAACATCGTTATCAGATTTAGTTTGTTGACGGTCCCCATGACCGTTTTGGAAGTAACATCGGGCTGGTAGATATTGCACCTTCGTGACTTCCTCCCTTCAAAAACGGCGTTGCATATGACTGAATTGACACTTTATCAAAAACAAGTTTGGCCCAAAATAATGTTGGTGTCCGCGACTCCATCTGTCCAGCTATAACAAGAGACCAATGTCAAACATGTCCAAGTCCGGTTTCGATTCCTCAAATGGGTACATTACATGGAACCCATTTTGGGTGAACCCAGCCGCGATATTGCTGAAGTATTGCTAAGAGCGGCGGAAAACCAAACTCATCAGGTATTGAAATTATGAGTGAGTGAGTGAGTGAGTGAGTGAGTGTGGATTTACGCCGCTTTTAGCAATATTCCAGCAATACCACGGCGGGGGACACCAGCAATGGACTTCACACATTGTACCCATGTGGGGAATCGAACCCGGGTCTTCGGCGTGACGAGCCAACGCTTTAACCACTAGGCTACCCCACCGCCCTTGACATCATTACGACTGTAATATGTGCAAACGCAATTAATCAAACATCACTACATTACCTGCAGACCAAGTGAAGACTGACACTTGTAGACCTTTCCATAGAGAGTGCGCATGCCCAATATAAGAGCGCCCGTTTCCGTGCTCGTGACATCACATAGTTCCACATCCTCGGCTGTTGTTGGGGATGTTGATGTTATTTTGAACATCACGTATGCCCTTCCTGTGGTGTCATCGACGCTGTAATTCAATGTACAACTACACTTAGTAGAGCCGTCATCCGTTAGTTATGGGTTGTAAACAACGATTAGTAGATTGAGTTTAAGGATGACCACCCATATTGTTTTGTCCTGCCTCATTTCTCCCTCCCACAAAACAGCCGTCAGTCAAATTATCCTTACACTCTTCACCCTATTTCGCCTTACGTCCAGCGGAACCTCTTACAGCGGATATTCGAGGCTGATTACTGATATCAAAAAAGGTTTCGTTGCTTGTATTGCAATACCGCATTTGACTCATGGACCATTAAAGATGTTCTGATATTGCAGTCGGAATGGAAACAGTTCAAACCATTTCTTGACCTTCGAAACCATTTAACAGGATATATGGAATCACTCAGTACTTGACAGGTAGATTCCCGTTTTTCCCACCATAATTCCGTTCAGCAACTAAACAGAGTGTTTCAGGTCCTTTCGACTCCCATTAAGCTGTGTTATAACACATAGGGTTGAAACAAGTAGCAGGACACTCGAGTCAGATAGAGCAGAGCCATTTACTCGGGAGAGTTATCGCCCCCTTGAGAGAGAGAGAGAGAGAGAGAGAGAGAGAGAGAGAGAGAGAGAGAGAGAGAGAGAGAGAGAGAGAGAGAGAGAGAGAGAGAGAGAGAGAGAGAGAGAGAGAGAGAGAGAGAGAGAGAGAGAGAGAGAGAGAGAGAGAGAGAGAGAGGTGTTATTCCGAACATATACATTATCGTTCATTTACAAACGAGCATGGACATTAAAGATAACAATATACAAGTAAAGTGAGTTATAACTGAATCATATCAATCATAACAAAGCAACAAAGGTTGTCTGATGGAATACACAAACGATGCAAACGTGATTATAATGTATGACGTGTTCGTCCAGCATTTCAAATTTGACATAGGTTTCAACATCTAGGTGATCTATTAGATAAGAAAAATATCTGTTTCTGCTTTGCAGAAGTTTCCCACAGTGCCAAGCACATGACAATCATAATCATACGCATGTTTGTCACAGAGTGTACATGTTTTAGAAACAATATTACGGGATGATATACGAATACAAAATTGCAGCATTGATCTGTGTTGTGGATAACGAAATATGATATCCCATAGAATATGATATGTGGAGTTTCCTATACCGAAACATACCGGCGTTTATTACCCACGTGGTCAACGTATGGGTAGTTGCATACTAATCTCGTACGTCACACGTGTGTCGTATCGCGTTGACCTGTGTCGTAACGACTTGACCTGAGATTCTAACGATTTGATTGGATAACTGATGACCTCTCAATGAGGTCACATTCTGACGTAACCATTTTTTCATTCATAACAAACACGTGAATTCATTCATTCTACAACTTAAATGCATTGTGGGAATGTAAACATCGCGAACGTTGCCGTGTCGCTGTTTAATTGTGAGTCGAACTGAGACATTATATCCGTCGAAAAACATAAACGCAATGTTTCCACCAGTGATGTTAGCCGAATGAAGCAACTGCAAACCAAGAAACGGGGTGCTACGGAGTAGTTTACTGTAGGAGGCTGTACGAGGCGATGACAACTGACATGCATCGTGACGTCGGTTACCAAGGCATTGACGTCATTACAGTGACGTCATGCAAATATTGTACTACAGTACAAAACTCTTCCGCAACCTCTTTATGAAACCGGTTTCGGTTTGAAACCAAAATATTAACAAAAATACGCTATTTTGTCAATTTAATGCATGTAAGACGTGGGTAATAAATAAAATACCACACTCGGTCTCATTACATACGAATTATACAAAACTCGTGACCTTCCTATGTTATCTGACCTCGCTGTCGCTCGGTCAGATACCATAGGAAGGACACTCGTTTCGTATAATTCGTATGTAATGAGACCTCGTGTAGTATTCTCTATTTATGGAAACCTTGTTGAGCCATAGTTGCTCCTCATAACCGTGAATTGTATCAAACACCACCTTTCGCCATTTATCGTTTTGTAGAAATATTCCATGGTTCACATAGGACCTAACATATTTGCCCAGCTTATACTTATTAGCAACTGTTAGAAGATTTGCCGTTATAGCATTAGATGACGTAGGCTGTGTGACAGAGGCACAAAAGATACTCTTTGCAGTATTGCTACATTTTAGGTTACACAGGCGTCCTAGAAATAACAACTTGCATTTGTCAATATATCCATGAAGGGTCCAGAGGCCAATGTTAGCTGTGGTTGATTCCGAGGGTGAGAGTTTATCTAGTCCTTGTATCGTACGTGCAAAATATCTTTGTGTTCCCTCTAGCAGGTCAACACACTGACCAGTCATTTTATACAGCAATTCACATGAACGATAAAGCACATGTTTTACTATTCAACTAAATTGAATCTGTTTTCCCAAAACTCGTTTCAACCCTTTATAGGGAAGGTTGGATAGCCAAGTGGTTAAACCGTTCGCTGATCATCCTGAATTCCCCACATGGGTACATTGTTTGTAGCCCATTTCTAGTGTGCACCGCCGTGATATTGCCGGAACATTGCTAAAAGCGGCGTAAAACTAAAGTTACTCACTCATTCTCGTTTCAACCCTTTGAATAGTATTCTAAACCGGCGCTTTACCCCCTAATCTACACAAATCACAATGTTTACCTGAGCGTAACTTCGGCCTTCTCTGGAACCGGTGCTTTCTCTTCTTCAGATGCCAGTCTACGGACGGTGTCCTGCAGGTGACTGAGCTCTTGTTTGACGATAAACACTTCCTCTTCAGTCTGTCTGATACGGGACTGGGCAGTGTTGAGCTCCAGCAGAGCATTGTTCGCGATAGAACGGGCAAGAAGGATGTCAGCATTATTGCTATTGGTGATCGTCATCATCAACTTGTCCAGCTGATGACAAAACTTTTTAAAATAATTATGGTGTCAGTATGAATGCACAAACAAGATGTTATCAAAATAATGACGTATGAAGATCAATTTAAAATCAATAAGAACAATATACACTAATAACAATATTTGTGCACCTGCACTCATAAATATGTTAAACTGTGACCCTCGAAATTTAAGTATGTCAACAAGAAATACACAGACTGTAATACACGAAGTCTATAGCCATTTGACCAACAATACATGTAACCTTACCTTGCTGGTGATCTCGAATGTATTTACACCCATGGACGCATCATCCCCGTCACTCTCCTTCGACACTTTGCAACAGAAACTGAGATACAACATCCAACAACCACGGAAATGGTATTCATGATTGAATAGAGCCAGTCCTACATCATTTCCAGTCAAGACAATATTATATCTGATTTCGTTTACAGCCTCACACCACCGAAGTAGGAAATGATGCTACAAGTATGTCGCAGGCGTTTACTTAAAATAGTCAATTAATTTGAATTCACTGGTTTCAGTTAAATAGTTAAATGTGTAATCAGATATAATCAAGCCATGGAACCTTACGGAGAGTCATGACCGGAAGGCATCCACGATAATCTCCAGTGTATACGTTACAATCACTCTCCACTATACCCTGGATGCATCCACGGCTTGGCCCGATAATTATATTGCCTCCCTTTGCTGATTTTTTATCCAATCAGGTGTTTACGCTGGGAAGTTGAGCGAACCAATCACAGCTCACTTTCGCTTCTTAAATTATCTAACCGTTAAGCTTGGCAACACAAATGATGCAGAGGTACTCTGAAAGAGGTAAAAGGAGTTCCTTTATATATTTTTTTAAAGTTTCACATCTGTCAATTTGTCTGTATGATTTCCCCAAAAATCTGAGTGGCGCTGCGAACAAATTTTAAACCTTCGCGACTGCGACCGCTATCTTTGTTGACACTGGCAAGCTCGGATGTAACGGCGGCTTAGTGATTGGCTACTGTGAGAATGCGGAGCCAGCAAAGGGAGGTAATATAATTATCGGGCCAAGCCGTGGATGCATCCAGGGTATAGTGGAGAGTGATCGTAACGTATACCCTGGAGATTATCGAGGATGGGGTTCCTGTCGTGTTAAGATATCATAGGGACTCAGTTTCGGACGTTTCTCTGACATGTAATTCCCCTTTACCCACCGACGTAACAGCTCCATCCTCCGATAAAGATTTACAGCTAATCATAAACATCACTATGGGCGTTTCTCCTATTTAAACAACACGTGGTGATCTATCCGGACTTATGTTCAAAGCAACGGTTCATACAACTGATCCAACTCGCGTACTCTTAGAATGAAACACCCCCAACCCCCATCCCCATCCCCATCCCCACCTCCCATCCCCACCCCCAATCTAGACACTCCGAGTTCAAATGGGCATTCAACCACTTACATGAACATGTCGTATAAAGCGGCTACTAGAGGGATCGGGTGGTCAGGCCTATTGAGATAGGTGCTCAAGATGTCAATCTCTGGATTGTCTGGTTCAGATACGATTTTTTACAGGCCGAATATACTGACGTTGTGCTGGTTGCAACTTTAAACAACACACGAACAATCTAAGAAACACTGAGAAACACACGAACGTTTACTCACACGGGTAGACTGAATCTGTCAATCCACGTTGACCCCTGGGCGAACACTTGCTGAAAAACTCTTCTATAATTTTCCCAAGGAATTCGTTCAAGCTGCGATCAAACTCGGGACCAACTGTAAAGTCTTTATGACCCTTGATCGACGCCATGTCGATGTTTAGAATACTGGCTCCAATATTCATGAGAATCATTGTCGCTGTGAAGGAGAAACATATGAACATTGTCTGCTTGAGATACACCTCAATCCCGGACTCCGAGAACACCAGCTGTCGAGATCGGACCAACCCGAGGAGGGACTCCATCAGGGCCAGGTAGGAATGGTATAAAGTTCTTATGTCAAACGTGATTGGCCCCTCCAGAAGGTAGAAGAAGGATGCGTATGCTGCCACTACAACGGTGAGGATAAAGGAAAACCCAAACAGCTCCGCCTGTGAGGCGAGAAGAGTCGCCCGCATAAGGAACAGGTTGTAGTTGAGAGACAGTGGTTGTAGAAGATATAGTATACGTATGAACAAAACCATTCCAAGGCTGCACCTGTAGATTTCATCCAACAGATGAACTAAGTCAAACGATACGTAGTTTTCTGAAAAAGAAGGAAAGTGTTATATACATTTTCATAAACATCCTGGACACGTAGGGGCGGTTGGGTAGCCTAGTGGTTAAAGCGTTGGCTCGTCACGCCGAAGACCCGGGTTCGAATCCCCACATGGGTACAATGTGTGAAGCCCATTTCTGGTGTTCCCCGCCGTGATGTAGCTGGAATATTGCTAAAAGCGGCGTAAAACCAAACTCCGTCAGTCAGTCCTGGACACGTAATAAACGATGAATGTTCATGCACACGTTCTATTACACTTGACTGTTTTGAATTTTACTTTTGGTTGGTTATATTCTTCAGAGGCAAACAAAGTGGAAAGTTTGCAACACTACCACTACCTATTTGTTTGTCTTAACTCTATTGTGACCAATATCCTTGATCCACTTCGCTGGAAGGATACTCCACTGGTTTCATACTTCCAAAACATCTCCTTTGTTCGTTCTCATTCTAAGAAGATCACTTGTGCTTGTTTCGACGTGTGTGTGCTGTGGTAAATATATCGGTGACGTGTTGTCATGAAGATCACTCTTCCAAGTATTGGGAAAGTTTCTTTTGCAGCTAAGTATTTATGAATTCTAATCCTGCGATACATTTAAAGGCACAATATCACACATTTTCGACAATATTGTGGTCTATATTATTTATTTTGGGCAGATACACTTTCTTTACCTTTCTAATGATGCAATATATCCCTTATCTCTTACGACTTGCCTGAAATGGATTTCTTTTTATTAATTGAAACTTCGAGGCAAACATCTTCCAAACAGAGAACACTTGCCATATATGGAATGTAAACGATTGCTCCGTACATCTAAAACTGCCGCAGACGGTGTTGTCGGTGTTTGCCGAACTGGTTTCAATCACAAGTTGTGCGTTGGATATTCGTAAAGCGCGTTCCAAGGGACATAACTCTATGGGGTTCGCTTGAAATAATATTCGACCGGTAGAGGGCGCGAGAGTCGATTTATTGCAACGGTGCATTAATTCTTTCGAACTTTTAATTTGATATTGTAATCTAAATACGTAATTTGTTTTGAATACGTTATGTGGTAGCTTCCTTGAGGGCTCATAGTTGGTATTATTGAGTGAGTGAGTGAGTTTAGTTTAAAGCCGCACTCAGCAAGATTCCAGCTATATGGTGTCGGTCTGTAAATAATCGAGACTGGACCAGACAATCCAGTGGTCAACAGCATGAGCATCGATCTGAGCAATTGGGATATGATGGCATGTGTCAACCAAGTCAGCGAGACTGACCACCCGATCCCGTTAGTCACTTCTTACGACAAGCATGGGTTACTGAAGATCAATATTCTAACCCGGACCTTCACGGTTAGCTAAATGTTTATGTTTTCTAATCTTGCGATTCATTTAGTACAGTGCTGGTTTGAATGTACATGTAAGCAAAACACTCTCTCAGAAGTATAATGTTCAACCATTTCAAACTCCAGAGGAAGGTTTTGGTGACTGAGTGAGGCTAGTTTTACGTCGCCCTTAGCAATATCACGGCAGGGGACACCAGAAATGGGCTTCACACATTGTACCCATGTGGGGAATCGAACCCGCGTCTTCGGCGTTTACCCATAAGGCTACCCCTTCAGCCTAGATCAAACCGGGATTTTGATTGTAAATGAAATTATGAGCTTACCTGGGTTGTTGTGAATTTCCTCCACTACGAAGATAGTCCTGTCGATCTTTACTCCATACACGATCACTGCACACAGCGAAAGTAACATTTCTAAAACAAACACACACACGTGCTTAAACTTAAAATCCGTTCACTGGAACAGCACGCTGAATGACAGAATTTGCTCATTCGGATGACCACAATCACGGCAAAAACTACTTGTAACAGAAGGATCAGGTAGTCCCACACGTTCACGTACGGATAGAGTCGTGCTGTCTTGGCATCAACGTTGAATCTCACACCACCAAGTGTTGGAAACTCAAACATCACCTGCAGCCGGGTAAACAGACGGACGTTGGGATTGTAGAAGGACGCTTCCACAATCAGGGCTCGACTTTGCGAATCTAACCACTTCTCTCTTTCCACGAATGTCTTCCTGCTTGATGCGTACCTTTGATCTTTATTCCAGCTTTCAACATAGCTGCCATCACCATAGTAACCGAAAGTTCCTTCAATGATTATTCCTGTACCTCCTGTGCTTTTGGTGAAGAGGAAAGGTTTCTCCGTACAGATGTCGGTTTCATTGCACCGCCGCCATTCTAGTTGAGAAAATAGTTAAAATATCACTGTTTTGTTGGAATCTTGGAACCAGTTTCTAACGAGGGGTTGGTGCAAATGCCAGTGATAGTTGCTTTTCACAGACTGTCCTCGTAAATCTGCCGGTACATCTGGTCCGTTATTTTCGGATATATTCCTATTGTTTGGATCTACAATCATCCCTTCCTTGCATATCCCTTGTGGTTTAACCAACTACCCCACATGTAATCAGTGTTAACTTTAAAACTTGAAGGGAACGAGACTGTCCTCAACAAAATCATCTGTAATCCAAGTCTAACCTTTCTGTACTATTATGTATACTGCTGACCTTGACGAAGCCAGCTTACACGTGTGAAATAGCCGTATCCACCCCCAAGAGTGTCCTGACTATTCCTAGTAGTTACAAAAGCCCTCAAAGATTTGTCCTTTACTAGTGAGTGAGTGAGTGAGTTTGGTTTTACGCCGCTTTTAGCAATATTCCAGCAACATCAGGGCGGGGGACACCAGAAATGGGCTTCACACAATGTTGGGGATTATCTTCGGCGTGACGAGCCAAGAACTACCATGCCGTGTAACTTTATGTAGAACTAGACTCGTTTGCAGAAGAGCTGAACCCGTTGTTATCCTCAGTATTGGGTTTTGGTTAAGACGAGTCTTTCCTATTTGCTTAACAGTGTCAAACGTACGGCATCTGCCAATTTTTGTTGCAGGTGAAGAGTTTCCAGGAACCAGTGCTAGCACTTGCATTGCCAGTCTTTAACATAGCACTTGTGACAAATGTTGTGTGGACATTGTAGTTAATCACACATTTAACATACAGTAGGTACCTTTAGAAGGACTTACCACATGATTGCTGCAAGGACTACGAGTGAGCTAAAATTTATCGTCATATCGGCAATATTTCAGCCAGTTAATTATCATATTATAGATCAACGAAATTAGAAATAAAAAACCTGAAGAACAGTACAACTACTAGTTTATCACACATCTTAATGTAAAACTAGCATGCTATCATAAAACAGCATGATTAAAGAAAACAATATAAAACATGCTATATATTGCCAACAACTGAAGCTAGATCACCATACTCGGGACCATAGGGACTTACAGTACATTGGCTTCCTGCATGGACCCCAGCTGGATGTAAGGGTTACGAGGGGCATTTGGGAAGGGGATACTACCATGGAGAATGATTGAGAAGCTCAGTGTTCTGCCATCCTTGTTACAAAACCTCTACCTTGCCAGCCTTTGCTTGCACACCCATGCTTTTTGTGTGTCTGAACGTTGTCGTTATTTCATCAGACCTTAGTTACGTTAATTGTAATGCTACAGGCAATCTACAAGAATGGTTTTATTGAAGGTTTGGCAGCAACCTCAGTTGTGGCCAATTGTCACTAAAACTGCACCGGCAAGACTGCATTTAATTTCAACAATTAGAGAAACGACGATCATGTTTACAGAAAAGATAATAACTAATCAGCATGCAGTTTCAAAAAAGCAAATCATACACCTTCCACTTGAATTCTCTATATGCTAAGTATCTGTTGAAGATCACCGACGAATTATTTTTAATACTTCTGGTACTATTGATACCACATATTAGACGAAAATCATGATGTGAGTCACACACTTCGTCAGGTCTCGCTAACACATTACTGGTTAGGATGCTTCAAGAAAGCCAAACATATCAATAATCCTCACTTACGTTCTTTGAATACGCCCGTTTCAGCTGATTGGGAAGAGTATCCCGGCATACACCGAAGAGGAGCACTGTACCACTTTGTAATCGCTTGGTTATGACAGGGACCTAGACATAAACGTAATACATTAGTTTTGTACAACACAGGTGCGTCGCACACACTGATATAAATCCACAGAGCATTATCATACCTCTAGACTGAGTGAGTGAGTTTGGTTTTACGCTGCTTTTAGCAATATTCCAGCAATATGACGGCGGGGGACACCAGAAATGGGCTTCGCACATTGTGCCCATATGGGGAATCGAACCCGAGCCTTCGGCGTGAACATTTATATGTGGGATATGCATCATAGTGTTGAATGTTGCCATGACCTGTAAATATTTATATGCGTCTGTGCCATGGACTGTTGAATGTTTGCCATGACCTGTAAATATTTATATGTGGTCTGTGCCATGGACTGCTGAACGTTTGCCATGATCTGTAAATATTTATATGTGGTCTGTGCCATGGATTGTTGAATGTTTGCCATGACCTGTAAATATTTATATGTGGTCTGTGCCATGGATTGTTGAATGTTGTGCCATGGATTGCTGAATGTTTGCCATGATCTGTAAATATTTATATGTGGTCTGTGCCATGGACTGCTGAATGACCTGTAAATATTTATATGTGGTCTGTGCCATGGATTGTTGAATATTTGCCATGATCTGTAAATATTTATATGTGGTCTGTGCCATGGATTGTTGAATGTTTGCCATGACCTGTCAATATTTATATGTGGTCTGTGCCATGGATTGTTGAATATTTGCCATGACCTGTAAATATTTATATGTGGTCTGTGCCATGGATTGTTGAATGTTTGCCATGATCTGTGAATATTTACAGGTGGGACATGCCATATAGTGTTGAATGTTTGTCCTGACCTCTGACTCTGTACTGTCGCAAGGTGATTGCTCCTAGTCGATAGTTGACACCGTCCACGGTAAACCTCTGGTCATAGACGGACATCAGATTGCCATTTAGTTGTCGTTTAGGAATCAGTGCAGGTATGAAATCGTGGTCAAACCATCCCCAAACATCGGACGTTTTGTTAACGCTCTGAAATATATCAAATTGTGAGAACCAGTGATTTCACCATGCAGAACATCGCCGTATGCATAGATTACCAAAGTGTTCGAAAATACACTGTAACAACATTTTGTACCAGCGTAGTATATACTGATGGTCAAAAGAAGTCATACGGAGTTGTTTATTTGTGTGATTGAAAATTGAATGAAGCGATATTAAATTTCATTTTGACAACTTAACTCATTTCTTTTACAGTATTTAATCTGTTTGTTTGTTTGTTTGTTGTAGCAAACGTCAATGTGGTAAGAATCTCCATTTATCATAGATCATTGTAATGAGAAGTTGTCAACTCAAGCTCCTTTGAACATTTGGTGTAATTGTCACCTAATCCTTCAGGGTATCCATTCACAAATGAGTGAGCCAGCGAGTGAGTGGGTAAGTAAGTGAGTTTAGGTTTACTCCGCTTTTAGCCATGATCCAGCAATATCATTGTACCCATTTGGGGAATCGAACCGGGTTCTTCGGCGTGACGAGCAAATGCTTTAACCACTAGGCTACTCCAACGGCGCATAAATGTGTAAACGGACGAACTTAACCATTAAATAGAAATAATCAGTTAGCGACATACCTTTGAGAGGAACGTTTTGTTGGCATATGATTTCATTAGGGTGTTCAGTAGGTAGGATTCCTTGACATTACTGTGAAGACAGATGATGGTGAGAACGACAATAAACGCCAGCTTGGCCCCTAGACTCTTGCTGACCAGGAACAGCCGGTGTTTCAGGACAAGCTCTTCCCGCCGCTTCTTGATCTCTTCCGAATTCTCATCCGGCGGCTCTGGGATCTCAGATTGCAGACTCATTGGAACTTAAATGTAATAATTGATTTCTATTGAGCTTGGCAATGCTTTACGCTTTTGGGACATACGTCTAAGATTAATTAGTATCAATACTTTTTATTTTAACGGCTGAATTATGTTTGTTTGTTGGTTAGTTTGTTGTTTGACGTCGCACTCAACAATATCCCAGCTATATGCCGGTGGTCTGTAAATAATCAAGTCTGGACCAGACAATCCATTCATCAACATCTTGAGCATCGACCAACGGACTTGGGATACGATGACATGTGTCAACCAAGTCTGCGAGCCTGACCACCCGATCTCGTTAGTCCCTTCTTACGACAAATATGGTTAGTGAAGACCAATTATAACCCGGATCTTCATGGATGCCTTCGTAGAGTTCTCTAACCTATAGACATGATTCCCCGGGCGTTGACCTTCTTCACCGGTGCGACGATCCCCATGTCCTCCTGGGCGGTCCTCCGGAACACGCTTGACAGGGCCACTGACAGGATCAGTATCTAGGGAGTCAATACAGATGGAATCAGTCATCAAATGGATCAGTATCTAGGGAGTCAATACAGATGGGATCAGTCATCAAATGGATCAGCATCTAGGGAGTCAATACAGATGGGATCAGTCATCAAATTGATCAGTATCTAGTGAGTCAATACAGATGGGATCAGTCATCAAAATGGATCAGTATCTAGGGAGTCAATGCAGACGGGATCGGTAATCAAATGGATCAGTTTCTAGGGAGTCAATACAGATGGGATCAGTCATCAAATGGATCAGTATCTAGGTAGTCAATACAGATGGGATCAGTCATCAAATGGATCAGTATATATGGAGTCAATACAGATAGGATCAGTCATCAAATGGATCAGTATCTATGGAGTCAATACTGATAGGATCAGTCATCAAATCGATCAACACGTTTGATCTATTTACAACAACCAGTTTCATGAAATGTAGAAATGTAACCTATTGTAGATATACGTACATCTGTGAAGTAAAAATATATCATCTTTCAAAACATGGTAAATGGGGTAAACTTTTATGCTTACACATAAATATTTGTATATGACAATCACGGAAAAAAACATAAAGAGTCTATTTTTTTACCGAACTGACATTATGTTATGGGCATGTCTATAGTGGAACAGGTTCTTTATGCCTGAGCATGTGAGGTAGCAAGTTGATAAAACGCCCATAAAATGAAACGTGTTCAGTTTCCCTGTGGAGCTTCTTCCGTGGCAGTTCGTCTGATACTGTGACGTCCTATGACTCAGTGTACGAAGTAACCACTGACCCGCTAGCCCGTGGCTTGTAAAAATCCAGCCGGGACAGTAAATCTCCGCAGTCACTGGCCCGACTGGCTAGTGAATTTTCATTTTCATGAATTTTGTAAATGTATCACTCACTCCGACTTGGTAAGTTGGAATACACTTTTAAATCATGCAAGATTATGGCCTGATAATATGTTCATCATATTAACAGCGAATGATGAAACCCTTGGCATGCGGACAATATCTTATTCTCATCTATTTTTGTGATATTTTGCTTAGTTTCTATTTTCAAATTTCGAGCTAGTGAATTAGTTTGTGGGCTAATAACTTTCAGGCATAACTAGTCCGACTGGCTAGCAAAATATGGAAACTATCTCGTACACTGCCATGACTGTGTATCCACCCAACCTCTCCCCGAGCACTTGACATCTTATCTTTTCGTCACTTCGACATTCAGTTGCCCTGAGCTGTGGGTAACTTGTGTCCCTTGACTTTCATTGACTTGGAAACAACAGTCCACATTTTGTTTTGAATCTATCAATCTTTATTACGAAGTCCTGATTGTTTCGTTTCATGTTAATTTACTCTCTGTCTAAGATATGTATTTGACTCCCAGGCGCGATACACAGTATTTCATTAAATCAAATTTCAGCATTCTGATATGGGGGTATAAAAATGATTTATATGTTGTATTGCTGTTTCATAATGACTTTCCCCATTGTATTGCCGTTTGCATATTTCAATAGAATTTATTGATTATATATTGTTCTTGGGTGGATATTTACTGATTACACAATTTATAACCTTTATATTGATATGCCTCCATATTTAGTTGTAATCAATTACAAATAGAATGTCCTGACGATTTAAAGTTTTCAATACAAAATCTATAATATTTTTTTTCTGTTCATGACGTCTGTTTGCTTTACACAATACAATAACAGAAATGAGTTGTTTTCAACTAGTATTTCTAACGTAATTGAAGGATTAAACAGTGGGTATATTGATGCCATCGATCTAAGAACGATGAACGTTGTCACTGTCCCTGTGATACACATACACACGCTGTTAGAGGATGTATTGTTTCGCAGAACGAGTGTGCTACAACAATCTGTGTCAACTCGCAGTTAGGCATAGGTCTTAATCGGTGCATGCGACTGTGGTAATGTTTGGTTTGGTATGCGGAAGCAAGTGGAATCATAAGTCCAGTAATTGTCTTTAAACAAGAAAAGCCTTTAAAAAGGCAACGTTTGAGGCACCTGAGTAAATTCAAAAAATTGTAATCAGTGAGACGATGTAGGGTTGAAGCTGATTTCAAGAGCATCACGATGACCATAAGACGGTATAACATGTACGCTCAGCGCTCGTGGTATTGTTTCTGAATACGCCTCTCGAACCGATTCTCGGAGACCAGTTGGTCCTTTGCTAAATCCCAGGAAAAACTAATGGCTGCTAATAAAATGGAATGGATTTTCCGATTCTGCAATTCGAAATTATGCACTGAACTAGTACAAGTGTGCTCTATTATGTGTAAAATTGTGAAGAATTGATTGTATCCGTTTATTAACGTTTGTGATCAGTAAAAACACAGAATGTGATTAAATTAGAGATTTATAGAAAATTCGATTTAACTATGAAGTAAAGCGTGACAGTATCATTAGCTGAAAGTTTATTTTGAATAATCCAAGTGTATATCATAGAGAGAAATTTCACCTGAGAGACAAATTCAGCCTGATTAAAAGGTTGTAGGCGTTTGCACCTACAGCCCATAATATGTGTTCTCTGTGGACCTAGTATGTCATACTCTTCATCAATTTAACGTGGACTAAAATAGCTTCTGCTGATAGCAATTTTTACGACATTGGTACATATTGTTCCAAAACCCGTTATCATGAAGCAGCCTGCTAAAGTACCATTATGTCAGTTATCTCTTAATGTGACGCAGTAATTCCGTGAACTGTTTATACACGATTAGTGAGTGAGTGTGTGAGTTTAGTTTTACGCCGCACTCAGCAATATTCCAGCTTTATGGCGGTGGTCCGTAAATAATCGAGTCTGGACCAGACAATCAAGTGATCAACAGCATGAGCATCGATCTGCGCAACTGGGAACCGATGACATGTGTCAACCAAGTCAGCGAGCCTGACCACCCGATCCCGTAAGTCGCCTCTTACGACAAGCATAGTCGCCTTTTGTGGCAAGCATGGGTTGCTGAAGACCTATTCTACCCCTTATACATGATTAACGACCCCTACCAAACAGGAACATGGCTACCACCTGTTGCTAATGGTGTATAGCTGCTGCAGCAAGCACCTACCCAGATGCCCACAGTTGTCTGAAACAATGGAACCTACCTTGATGGGTTCTACAAGGATGGTACTTCCGGTAGTACAAAATACAAGTGACATGAGCCAGTTGGTAGATGTAGCACCTCCCCATTCCAAGCTGTACAAGAAGGTGAAGAAGGCACTTGCTCCTATAGACAACACCACGACCATATAACCAACGAAAATAAACCACCAGGGTAGAAGCAGCTCTCCAGTGATGTAACCAATACATCGACATCTTCTTCCTTTTCTGTTGTGACTTTCCTCCACCACCTCACCCTTCAAACCTCTTCTCCTGAAGGCCCAAGTCATGAGAAACCCTGGGAGAACTATAATGACTGCGGACATCACCCCAACGTAAATTTGCCTGTAGTTCAGCTTAACAGGGCCTATTTCTATACCTCTGGTTTTCTGGGTACTGCTGTCGTAGTCTTGGAACCACATGGCGTTGGTGACCATCCCGAGAAACAGCATCGCCACTGCACACAGGAATCTTTGGACTCTGGTAAAGCGGCTAAACATTGGCCGTTTGATGACAGATAGCCATAGGTGATCGTCAAAAAGCTTCTGTTTCGAGACGATGTCGAACATAGCTATCTCTTGACCGTCCGGCGAGAAAGCTTCAAACGTTCTGCAGAGCCTGCCGTCATCTTTATCAAGGGCAAGCCATTTGTGACAGATGAATATGTACCTGGAAAGAAAAGGGAATGACATTTTATTAATATCACATCGTTCTCTTGTCTGTAGCTGAAGTTCCATCACGTCAGCTGAAATACAAGTGTAACAGACGGAAGTATTTCACATTTTGACAACGAAGTTCAAGATTTCAAACTTGCCGGAATGTTCAATTATTGTCGACGGCTGGGTTAGGACTCAAATCGTTTAATTTGTGATTGTGTAATAGTCAGTTTCGACTACAGGCACACATGATTGAACGGTGCGGAGTAGCAATTATACTTTAGAAAATTCGGATGTTCCTTAAATCTCAGAAAATTATATAATTTAGATTTACACACCTTTAATTGGATTTGCATGGTTTGAAAACATGCAAGGTTGTGACCCAAATCTGAATGCCATTTTCGCATGCGCAGTTACATGGTTCTGTACTGACATTTGAACATGACAACGTTAGGGTATCATTTAACTTCATGCAGTATTTTTACTATGTACTGATGCAATGCATTTTTCATCATATTTTGCCTGTACGATAGCAGTATACACATCTATTGACACGATATTACACACTACGTAAATTGTGGGATTCAAGTATTTAAGTGAAGAATAAGGACTATTTTTATGGATATACAACTTCTTTTTCCTACATAGGCGACGTTTCGACATAGATTCTAATGTCATTGTCAAGCAAGTTGTTTAACAAACTATCATTAAAATTTTGACACAGTTCACTATTCGATCGTTACGAGGGGGGAGTGCAAAGAAAGGAACAGTCAGGTGTGCGAGAAAGGATGGAGACGGCACAGCACAGGTAAATGAATCAATAAGTTTGTCGGTACTTGTGCACGTGCTTCGCGTACACCTGGCTGTTCCTCTCTTTGCACTCCTCTCTAAGTAACAAATAGTGAACGGTGTCAAAATTGTAATGATAGTTTGTTAAACAACTTTTTTAATTTTAGGACATAAATTCTGAAAAAAACAACTCACAGAGTTGGTCTGATGTTTTGTGTGTGAGTTATATAATGCGGTTGTTACGACGTAAATTGTAATAAAAACGCAAATTGTAATACTTGCAGCAAATTGTAATAAACTTGACGTAAATTGTAATAAAAACGTAAATTGTAATAAAAATTGACGTAAATTGTAATACGCAAATTGTAATAAAAATTGACGTAACTTGTAATTATTTTCGTTGCGGTAAAATGTAATAAATGTTTACGTAAATTGTAATAACAGTTTTAATCACTCGTAAATACGCGGGAGTTTGTTTTTCGTTGCATTTCATACATCAAATAAGCTTGTTAGGGCGATAACTCAAGAAAGAAATGATGGGTTTTGTTCAAATTTGGTACCAAGGTATATTGGCGAGATTCACCGACACAAGTGAAATGGAGTGACCTTGAGATAATTTTCAAGGTCACAGCAAAAATCTTAGGGTTTTGCCAATATAAAGATTGTTAGCGCGATAACCCAAGAAAGAATTGACAAATCTTAGCTTAATGACGAAAATGATATTCATCCTGATATATAATCGATATAAACTGTCCTCTGTATCATGTCTTTTCGCAAATATCTTTTGAGGTTTTGATATGTATACATATACAGTGGGGTGGGGGTAGGGTGGGTTTCTAACGGGTATATCTAACACACTTGCATGCATGTAGAGTCGGAGAGGTGGGTGGGTGTTCTAACGGGTATAACTACGAGGGACGTTCAAATAGTAGTCAGCCTCACCTAGAATATGATACAAATGCAGCTGTTTTTATGTTTTATTTTTCTACATATTATCTGTCAGCCTCAAGCAAGTTGGTTTTGCTATGTTGCAGCCTCATGATCCCCATTTTGTGAGACTTTGTATCTTTGCTTGGTACTCCCCAAAAACGTAAAATCTGCAATAAAATGCATCACAAACGTCAGGAAACAAAATATGCTATGTTTGAGATTGGTAGAAGTCGGCTAGAATCAAACTTAGATATTAAACTGCACAAAAAAGCAATTTCAAAACTACAATCGCTTGTTCAAATGACTCCCCATTCTGTTTACTGAAAGAAATCGAGAAAGAAATGATGGATTTTGTTCAAATTTGGTACCAAGGTTTATTGACTGGAGATTGGAGATTTACCGACACCACTTGAATTTAGTGACCTTGAGGTCATTTTAAAGGTCACAGCGAAGGTGTAACAGTTTTGCACATGCCAAGCTTGGTAGCCGCGAACTCAGGAAAGTATTAATAGATTTTGATCCAATTTTATATCAAGGTGTATTGGCGGGATTCCCCCAACACCAATTGATTGGGAAACTTGTGCTCATTTTAAGTTCACAGTGAAAAGTGTTTTGCACATGTCTAACTTTTTAGTGCGAAAATACAAGACAGAATTAATATGTTTTGCTTAAAGATAGTACCAAGATGCGTTGGGAGTATCGTCTAACGCCAGTCCAATTCAGTGACCTTCGGATTATTTTCAAGGTCACAGCGAGTAATGGATGGAATTTGTTCGCATTTTGTAGCAAGGCATCAGATGACAGTTTCGGTAACGTTTACATACTTTTCAGGGTCAGACAGAGGATAATTGCGACATTCAGATATCGACATGTGGCGGGGGTAATAGCTATGTTTGTGACAAACGCTTTGTCATTACTAATTTTCAAATTTTTGTTAGCATATGGTTTCTATAATTTCATGTTAATTCTACCAGCTGTGAAATTATTCGTTACACGTCTTAAAAAAGCCAGAGATTATTTGTGTATGTTTCGAAAATTAAAGTTAATTGTTTTTCATTATGGAGTTATTTCGATGTTGACGCAAGGAGATATTTTACGAGCAATAGCTTTCAATAATTTAATTTTATTTCTATTACATTTTGAAGTTCTTCAGAGCATATCCGAAAATAACAGGATATTGTTTGTTTACGCTTCTTTTCTTCATTTTCGAATTATTTTCAATGTTGACGCAATGACATATTTGAAGTTAATTTAATGTTTTAATCATATGTGATTTATTATGATTTATATTTCGATCATACATTCATATATTGCGTGGTCATAGTTTAACCTGGTTCGTATTATTTTCTTCATCATATTACTACATATTATTGTATTTTTATGAGAGGGAATTTTAAGTTACATTTGCTAGGATATCATAAATCGCTGGCGCCTGGTTATTCCTTGTCACATAGGTGTCAATCTGTCTACTCATTTGTTGCATTTGATTGATGCATATAAAATAAAATGTAGAAATGATATTGAATTTCATCATTTGCTTCAAGGAATCGATCAGATGTGCTCGTTATCAAAGTAAAGTCAAAACTTCTTTCTGTAAGGTATACAGTGGAAGTTGACACCTTAAGTGTTATGGGTAGACCAAAGAAATCATTTATTTAGTTTCACCGCTCAAAATACAACAAAGAATTCAACGGGTGGCATTAACCTCAAAGAATGATCATAACAATGCTTATAACATAAGAGGGCAAACATATCAGGGATAATTGGTTTAATGCGATATGCACCGGGTGAAATATCACTTTGTCATGGTGACATGACATCATGAACAATGTTATGACGTCACGTTGCTTCGAAGAAGCCGCCTTCTAAATACAACGATGACGGGGAGCCTGCCTTTGTTGGAAAGTAGATTATCACGTAATTTCAGCAATTAAAGACTTCGGTAATAAATAGAAAATTATATTCGTGACCATAATATGCTAGGTTAACGACCTAAATATCGGCATATCCCTTCTCTGGTTCCGAAAATACCAAGATATAGGCAGTTGTGTTGTAAACTGATATTTATCTTCTATAAAGTCGGCTATATTCAAACCATGAGAAATGTCGTCAAATAATGTCTGATGACAGTTACCAACGTCCCAATAGTGTCCATATATTTTAGAAATCTATAACAATAAAGCACAACCTCACTACTTTTTTTGATAAATGACAAAGGATTAATCAACCATATTAAAAGGTTTTCAGGCTTGAATGACGAAGCTCATTAAAATATATTGCCAGCTCCCTTTTAGAGACTGATAAAAGGTTCGAAAATGTGGGTCATAAATGCATGAAAGTTTTTATTGTTGTTCATACCCGTTAGGCCTCCCGCCTCTCTATGTCTTAAAGTATGCAGACCGCCTCCGTGGTGTAGTGGTTAGAGCGTCCGCCCGGAGAGCGGAAGGTCGCGGGTTCGATCCCCGACCGCGTCATACCAAAAGACGTTAAAATATGGTACTTGTTGGTCCCTGCCTGGCGCTCGGCATTCATGGGTACAACAAGGACTGGTCGCCTCGGAGTCAGTATAATGTGTCTGAGTGGGGTATCCATGCTTCACTGCGGCATGGTATCTCAGTGGGCTAGCACTATAAAACCAGCTTAAGTCTGGGCTAGTACAAGCAGCCGCACATACACATACACACGCATGCACGTCGTCATATGAGCGTCATATTCTCAAGCACGACGTAAAACCCAATTTCACCTCACCTCACCTTAAAGTATGCTAGATATAACCGTTAGAACACACCACACCACTTTTCTGCCCATTTTTTCAATTGGGCTAAATCATAGTTGAGAGTTGCTTCTATGGATTTTACATATTTTCCCGCAACACCGATTGATGTGTCATCGGCCAACATTATTGTGATATTTTGTAAATTTCCAGGTAAATCATTGATATATACAAGGAACACAAATTAACCAAGGGCAGATCCTTGAGGAACCCCTGCAGTAACATTTAGTTTTTCATAATGTTCCATTAAAAGAGACACACTGTCGTCTATCAGGGCCCGGTTGTTCAAAACTCGGTTATCTTTTAACCAGCCGTTAAGTACATTTAACCGACTGTTACCTAATAACAGAAGGTTATCTTGTTGTTCAAAACTCTGTTAACTTTTAACAGGCTGTTAACGTGACGTAAAGTTAACACACCTAAGGACCGCCGCTAACATTTTAACAGTGTGGTTAACTCGCAAATGGCGTTCATGGTTAACACTGCTTTCATGATGCCAGTTCAGCAAAGAAAGGATAGGG